AGACGGCGAGACGCGGCGGGGCTCGGCCTGGGCTCGTTCTGAGCACACACGCAGACTCACAGCCAGGCTGCAGGTGTGTGTGTGTGTGTGTGTGCTCGGGCTGGGTTCAGGCTGGGTTTCGCTGTGTCTCGCTGTCTCGCAGATCCCCAGCAGCAAGCCAGCTCACACTGTCCGCTCCAGCAGCGAGCCCGGCAACGTCCCGCCAACACGGCACTCAGACCCCACGCAGCATTCTCATCTGTTTGTCCTTACTGGTGTCATTTCCTGGTTGCTAACGCCATAATCACTGATGTTCCGCTGTAACAGTGGTGGACTCATCAGAACAGAGTGGGCGAGCTGACCAATCAGAGAACAGTGGGCTCACAGGGAGGGGGGGGGGGCAGGAGCTCCAACAAGCCGTTTAGGACAGAGAGTGAATACACATACTATACAGAGATGCTGTATGAGAAACCAATGTGAGTTTAGAACATTGAACAATGTAAATCTATTTTAGTAGACCTCAACAATGGAATTATGATCAGTAGAAATGGCCATGCCATGGGACCTTTAACTTAACACCCACCATATCAGTGGTTTCATGCTAAATGTATTCAGCTGACAAATTTACCTTGGTGGTTTACAACCCAGAATGCAGAACATAACTCTAACCTTGTTAAGATAATCCATCATCTTGATCATGCCACTGCTTTATTTTACGTTAAGATTTAAGACTTTATGATCATTGATGAGTTTAGCAACACTGCCTGCTGACACAGGTAGATTTTTTATGATTCTTTGTTTATTGTCTTCAAGGTTTATTCTGCTGATATCATAGCTAATAAATGCAATGATTTTTCTAGAAATGATTTTTAGACTTGAATGCTGTAGACTCCATTGAAACAAAGAAAGGTTTTCAAAATGAATACAGCTGTCTGCTGCAAGTTACAGAACTGAATATAAACCAGAATCTGTATAATAACTAAACATGTAAACTTCTAGTGGCTCGTAGTTTTGGTTTACATCATGCAAAACTACCAGCATGGTCAATCATCTTAAATAAAACACTTTCTTAACTAGAATATTGTCATGGAAATATCCACACTCATCAACTGTGGAAAATGTGCAGTCAGTTGTTAATCGATTCTCAGTTTTTCACAGTGATCTAATTTGAACTCCAGTCTCCTCAGCTGTAAGATACCTCTGCCATCGGTGGTGTACCCGGGTCCCAGAGGACACATCTTCTTGTACTGAGTGGTTCCGGGCAGGGGGCAGAGCTCACAGCTTGTGCCCCAGCCTCTGCCTCCGTCACAGCAACACTCGGACTTGGTCACCAAGTTCCTGTTGCTAGAAGTCATCTGACACAGGGTGGTCAAAACCTCAGTGAAGCAGAAGCCTTCTCGGTTATCTGGAAGGTGGAAGAGGCAGAAAAAGTAATGTGAGACAAACAGACAGAAGACTAATAAAGAGGTGGGCCAGAGGAAAGCAGACCAAACCACCCAGACACGACCTGGCCTCGGAGAACCAGACGATAACAGACACTGCTCTATCACTACTGTCTGTAATGAGGAAGATAGCAATAGAACCACAGCGCTCACAAAATCTCCCTGGTGGTTTTCTCACCATATTCGACACATCACGTCTATCCAGAAGTATATATTTGGATTAGGGAGGAAGGCTGTGAAAGGATTTCCTCTCCACTATCTTGACAGTAACAGACACATGTTTTTTAACAAGACAGTGTCATGGAATAGCTACATTTACTTGACATGAAACAATTACTTGTATGCCTAGTTAGCCAAGATTCAATAGCATATCATTTTTTATCCAAATATACAAGGACATACGTTAAAGTCTTTAAAATTTAAATATTATTTGAGTGTTGTCAATGTGAGAGCTATTTTTTTTCTTTAAACCCATACACATTCCAGTGGTTAGACTCCTGAACTGTCCATCCTAGAATTATATCCCATTTCTTCATCTTATTCACTCGGAGGTGTTTGAAATACAGAAACAACATGCCACTAAGAAGTGTTTTCTTTTCAGTTTTATGGATCTTTTATAAATAAACTTTGTGTTAGAGGACAGTAGGTTACGTATGTATAGGGGCAAAGTGAAAACAAACATACAGTATGAGCAGATGTATACATTTCTAATAATATACGTACCGATACATTCAGTCTGTGTGGGGTTAGCGACGTATCCTTGGTCACATCTGCAGCGGAAGCTTCCCACTGTGTTCTCACAACGGCCATTCTTACAGGTACCTGGTTTGGCTGTACACTCATTCAGATCTAGCAGAACAAACAAATCAGGGAGAAACAGGGTTAACAGCACTTAAAATTGAATACACAACTGGCTTTTTACATGCTTACAGTGTATCAACATCGTTTTTATTCTATGCACAGTCAAGCTAAGATTAAAGGCCAATTAAACATGAATTATGTTTAATTATTTCCTACAGGTGGGCAGTATGATATTCTTACCAATGCAACCATCTCCGCCGGGCTGCCGCATGTATCCAGGGGGACAGATGCACATGTATGTACCAATCAGGTTCTTGCAGGTCATGCCTCTGCTGGCACAGTCATCTATACCGTCCTCACACTCATTCTGATCTAGAGAGCAAAGAGTAAACTCAGAATAAGATAATGCAAAACAGTGATCTAAGTAACACAGACGGTCAAACAAACTTCGGCCCTCAGGAGTTTACTGTTACCGCCCAATCCAACATGGCTCTCTGAAGTGCTAACAGGCGTGCACTGGGAGGGTTGGTGGTCTGTTTGGAGCTTTAATGTAAACAGTGACGCTACAGACACTGACAAGTTCCTCCTGTCTTAGCTCTCCCCTCCAAATACAACCGTTGCTATGGTGCCCAGCCTATCTGAGAGAGCGGAGGTGTAAACAGTGACTTGGCCGGCTACAGTTTCCAGAGAGTTTAAGGTTGCCTGAGACAGAGAACTCTTGAGGGTCTCACAGAGATATTGTGTACTATAACTTTATAGACGGGGCCAGCATGTCTCTATGAGGTGCTTTTCTAACAACACTATTCAGTAAATGGAGTGCATGAGTGTATTACCTTTACACATCCTCTTGTCATCGCGCAGCACGTAGCCTGTGGGACATTTACACTCGTACGAGCCCACCACGTTAACGCAGCGGAAGGCACACAGCAGAGGATTCTGGGAGCACTCGTTGATGTCTGGTCAAGGGATAGAAGGCAACACCTTACAGTATAGAGACCACAACGACTGCATGATGGAAGTGCAGACATAATTGTACATACCTTCACAGGTCATCATTGACCCAGGCTCAAAGCCGTCATCACACGCACACTCAAAGCCACCAATGACATTAGTGCATGTGCCGTTTCCACATGGATTGCCGATGGCACACTCATTAGTGTCTGTATTCAAGAAAGTCACAAAAAACTCCATTAAGCGCGTAAGTATAAGAGTCATAGAACATCTACTTAGTACCTCAGTAAAGTATGATAGCAGTGAAACAGTGAACCTGCCTTCACACTTGACTTTAGTGATGTCCAGATTGTATCCCATGGGGCACTCGCAGCGGAAAGCGCCGTCTATGTTGATGCACTCGCCATTGATGCAGGGATCATTGAGGCATTCATCAATATCTACAATAACAAAAACATCAACACCAACTTAATTACATCCAGCACTATACCATAAATGTAGGACAATGTCAAAGACACACAAACCTTTTGGGTGGTCATCTTTCCCCCGTTCGTATCCCACATTGGGACAGAGAAGAGGATAACCCTCTGGAAGCATAAGAGTCATGATGAATAACATTAAACATTATTTTGTGCAAGGTCTTGTGTTTCCCTGCATATGTGGGTATATGTGATAAGAAGTGTACACACCCTCTCCATCGGTGGGGCAGATTTCGCAGGGGTCTCCCCAGCCTTGACCTGGCATCATAGTGCAGCAGCACTCCGCCTTGGAAGTGTTCTGAGGCTTTGGAGCCTGGCAGCGGCCATTTTCAAACCTGGTGTAGCAGTAGTTCACACGGATATCTGAGGGTTCAAAGACAGAGGACAAGAAGAGCGAAGAATTAGAGGGACTGAAAGATTACTGAGTCGTACAGTGCACAGTGTTATGCTTACCGGTCAAACTTTTAAATAACTGTGATTAATAAGAGCTACATTTAAAGTGTATGGGTTATTATGGTTACTTATTATTAGCAAAGATATCATTAATAATATTTTAACTGTATGTTGTTTGACACATTTTAACATTTTATATCCCACATTAAGTACAAGGTAATGATTACCAAATGATTTATAAAACAGCTTAAAAAAAACATTCGATATGCACCAGATATTAGTAACACTTACAAAAGTTGGTCTATAAACGTCCATAAACATTATCAGGATGGATATTAAACTTCAACATATGAATATAATATATTGCTAAATGGGAAATAATAATTTATTAAGTATCAACAACATTAGGATAATCAATACTTTTTCAATGGTTAATAGCTGGTTTCTCGTCATTTATGTAATTTTTTATAGATATTTATAAAGCAAATCATTTACAAACATCTTGAAGGTCTCTTAGAGGTTACCAAATAATTAGGTTATAATTACAAACACTCAATAAAACATCTTCAAATATTTACAAATGAATACACCATACATCATTTTACAATACATGTCATTTTTACAAGACAAGACAATAACAAAGTATTTTACTGTTGAACCACATTTTCAAATTTTTTGGGTGAATTATAGACAGTGAGGGCAGAGGTTGGCTATAATCCTGAATGATCTGTGTGGAGCCACACGAGAACGGTAACGCAAACGAACCAAATTCGATATCAAAAACGTCTTCCGTCCACATGCAATAGGCACCAGAAATGTGTCCATTCACATGAGACCGCTCGAAAGCGCTGGAGACGCTGTAGAGAACTGCAGCGGATTCCTCCTGAACGAGGAGGCACTTACTCATAATGAGAAGCATATGGTCGCGCTCTCCTGCTAGCACTGGCCTTCACTGAACTCAACACAAATAAGCTTTCTGACCACCATAGATCACACACACATGCACACACACCTGGCTAAGAGGCAAAGATCACATACATGAGCACCTGGTGCTGTGAGGAGAATGTCAAAGAGTGTCATGTTACTTTCCTCCATGAAACTGATTTGTCAGCCTTTCCGTGGAAGAGATTTATGGTGCTCTGTGCACGGCTGCCGAGCAAGTGTGTGTTGAGTGCACGCACATGTGCATCTGGATGTATGGACATGTCATTCAGACTTTGTAGTTTGTTCACTGGATGATACAGATGTCAAAAAATTGGGATCACTCGATAGATTCCCCTAAATTGTCAGTGCTATGCAATACATTTAAAAAATCGAATTTCATAAAAAATTACAAATAAATAATTTGAAAATTGAGCTCTGAAATAAATCACACTTAACAAGGTTTGACATTGGTGACACAAATCTAATGGTGGTGGGGTGGTGACAGATATTTGGAGGACATGATTTTGGAAATTTGCACAACCACTACAGCATTATAATTTAAAGCATAGTGGAGGCCTAGTGGTTAGACACATACTGTATACTTCACATCCTCGTGGATTCATCTTCTTATTATACTGTAGTCACATGCATTTCCAAACATTTGGTCTACCTATGTTGTAAATGTATTATCTTTTCGATTTACACACGGCATCTATTGCACGTCTGTCCGTCCTGGGAGAGGGATCCCTCCTCTGTTGCTCTCCCTGAGGTTTCTCCCATGTTCCCCTTTAAACTGTGGGTTTTCTCTGGAAGTTTTTCCTTGTACGATGTGAGGGTCTAAGGACAGAGGGTGTCGTATTGTCATACTGATATTCTGTACACACTGTGAAGTCCACTGAGAGAAATGTAACATTTGTGATATTGGGCTATATAAATAAACATTGATTGATTGATTGACTGTATACTGTTATGCAATATATCAAGCATGACTCCAGCCAGTGAGTAATGTTACTCTGTCTCGCCCTGTATTCTTTCACTATATGCTATCAATAAAGGCAAAGAAAGCAATAATATTGACTAAATGTATTTGGGCTTTTAATGTGTCACTAAAATGGAGCTTCGAGTTTTTTGCATAACATTTACAGTTCATCAGTTGTTGGCACTGATGTTCTTGTTAAAGGCTCTACTACAATATGTAGTAAAAGAAAAATATGCAAGTTAATGTGAGATCCAATGTTAAAGTAATTAATAGTCACGGGTTTAGTTTAACTGCAACGAGGGAGGTGAAAGATTCTCATTTTTCTTTTGACTTATGACCAAGCAATAATTGGCCATCAATTTAATTCCAAGTGTATCTGTCTCCCATCATGTTTTTTAATATAAAATAATTTGTTGATGTCATCTGGATTTTTGTTCATTTTGTTCATGTCAATCATCAGTTTTAATAAAATAGCAAAGGTTTTCTCAGTGGGACAGGGTTTGTCTCTTTTACTGCCCATGTAGCTCACTCTCCACCCAGCCCCTCCTGTTTATCCCCCACCCTCAGTCCAGCACGTCTGACACTGGAGAGAAAACTGAAATTCAAACTGTAACTGATGATGTCATCACTTCAGTGTTTGGAGGGGGAACTCCCTAACAGAGGATGCAGCACGCCCACACACACACACACACACACACACACACACACACACACACACACACACACACACACACACACACACACACACACACACACACACACAATTGATCTGTTCAGAGCCACCCTTGGCCGGGGTGAGGCAGCAGCAGCAGAACCAGCTGGAACACAGTGTGCTATCATGAAAAAGCAGGAGCAGTCTAAAAACCTCTGACTGCTGCTTTGTCTCCACTAGCACTTAGAGACAGACTAAACAGATACACTAGTATTTACACTTTGAACTTGATGCATAAGATAGTTTCATAGCCTCTTTTCCCCCTCTTTCTCACACACACACTCAAAATTACCTAAACATCTGCGTCCGGAGGCAGAGACCTGGAAGCCGTCGGGACACAAGCAGGTGAAGCTTCCTTCATTGTTGGCGCAGGTTCCAAATGTACAGATCTCAGGCGACATGGAACACTCATCAATATCTGGTACAGAAAGAAGGACGCAATCAAACACCTCATGAACATTTAAAATGTATTTAAGAGCCTCACCCTGCAGCGCTTTATTAAATACAGTATGTTGTAGGTTAACTTTACCATCATACTGCGAGCATAAAGTTATACGAGAGGGTCATATTCTAACCAAATGTGATGAAACAGAATGTAATCTCACTAATGGATAGTTGGACAAAGTCGTATTAGAGCTTTTATGTTAGATGTTCGCTCATCTTAATAACTAGCTGCTGCTGTTACTGATGCTGACAATTTAGTGCTGCTCCTCCCTGCTTCCAGGAACATGGCACAAAGCAGGAATGTGTTGAATATCTCTTCATCAGCCCCACTGTATAAACAATCAAAGTGTTCTGGCTTGAGCCCACTCCCATGTGTGAAAGGAGAAGATGGGTGTTTTCTAGCAGCGAGGCAAATGAAGAGAAGAAGAGTATTGTATTCTTGTTCACCTCAGCAGAGTTTGTGCATGTAAGCTGGTGTTATTGAATAGCCTGAGGTGAGATTCAACCACAAATGTAGATATTTTATTACATGAAAAATGTATGTTGGATTTTTTATGTCCAAGCTTATATTTGTTGATCGTGATGCAGAAAGGACTTCAGGCTGCTGTACCTTCACAGGTCTCCTCATGGAGATAGTAGCCCAATGGGCAGATACACCTGTAAGAGCCATCCAGATTCACACAAGTTCCAGCACCGCATGTGCCTGGATTCACTGCACATTCATTGATATCTGAGAGAAAAAGGAATACACAAGGGTTACACTGTAAAGTATACTTATTTCATTTAGATTAAGAATGAAAAATGGTGGCTCCTTACCTGTACAGAGTCTGCCGTCTTGAGTGAGCTCATAGCCGTCGTTGCACACACAGAGGAACGAGCCCAAGGAGTTCAGACACTGCCCGTTTCTACACATGCCCCTCTGCGTGGAACACTCATCCACATCTGATCAACACACAAACATAACAATTAGTCATTTGCTTTATCCTCTTTTCCTAACTCACTTCAACATTTGCCGCACGTACCTATGCAGTCCCCGTTGTGTGAGTTCTGGAAGCCGGGGTAGCACAGGCAGTTGTAGGAGCCCACCGTGTTCTTGCAGGTCCCGTTGCCACAGGGCTGCCTCTCACATTCGTCCACGTCTGAAACCAGAGGACGTCGTCACAGTTTGACCTGGAACAGCACTCACATTAAATGTCCAACACAAGGGAGATCATAGCTTACCAACACACATGGACTGGTCTTGTGTTGTTTTGAAGCCGTTGGGGCAGTGGCAGCGGTAACTCCCCAGCATGTCAATGCAACTACCAGGATTGCATATACCAGGGTTCTCATTGCATTCATTACGGTCTGAAAAAAGAAGAAAAACAAGTGTCACACAATGTGAAATTCAAAGCCAAACCACAACCATCACAGCCAAGTGTTCATCTTTAGAGTCCTTATAAAGTATCAAGATTTATAAGTCAAATTACTAAAGGGGAGACACAACAGGTGAATTTGTCTAGGTTGGATGTTTTCTAACTTTTCACACTGTTATAACTTAAAAGGCAGTTTACATAATGTGTTGAAAGACATGGAATAATTCACTGAAAGTTTTTTCATTTAAGAGTCTGGCTACAGACAGATAACATTTGATGAGATCCAAACAAACCCTAGCATCATACTGTATACATTACTTCAATCCTGTGAGTAATTTGTTATGATAACATTACAGAGATAAGGTTTTTAGATAAATATACTGTAGGTCATGAAACTTAACTCTGTTGCATTATCCAAGAGCAACATCATAATTATTAATGGTTTTAAACAGTCATTAACTCATTTTTAATACCAATACCATTTCAAAGTATGCCTTGCAGCATGCTTAATTATTTATTTGTTAATTGTGTTATTTCCTTTTTTTCAAACGACTGTATTATAAATCACTGCCTTTAATAGATTGTGGTCATCATTGTTTCCAGCCACAGCTTCAGTTTGCCCTCACTGGGGTCCAACCGGGGTTTGTTGTTCGGACTTCAGGAAGAAAAACAGGATGCGGATTTAACATTTGCTTATCGGGGAGGATACTCTCCAGTCTGAGAGTGACATGTTTCAGATATACAGCAGCACATGTTCAACAGCTCAACACATGCTTCACATTCTCACTTCCCTAATAACAAGCCCACCATGAAGAGTTCCTCCTCAGCCCGACTGTCACTGCCTCTGGTGCTTTATCTTTGGCTGGCAATAATGTGCAGCTTAAAGACTTTCGTGTGACTGACTTTGATACAATAGCTTGAAAAGGCAAAAGAGAGTGTAAGGCCACAGGAGGATCCAGAGAAGTCAGACTCATCCTCATGGAAGACTTTTCTAATCTTTTCTCTAATCCTGCTCCATGTTTCCACCTATTCTGTTTAATCTCTACTGAGGTCTTCAGGAGTTTGGCTGCGGGTTGCGTGAACAGTGACAACAATGCATTTCACCAGTAATTTACTGTATAATCTGATGACATCTTTCACCTTTATTTGGTTGATCACCACCACAGCCTTACCTTGACATTGCCCTGTGGGGGTGAAGCGATATCCGGGTTTACACTCGCAGCGGAAACTTCCGGGGAGGTTCAGGCAGGCCGCGTTCTGCTGGCACACCGGCCCGTTCTGACACTCATCGATATCTAACCACAACAGCAGGAGAGAGCAGATTCATGTTACTATATACATACATTTACTCAAGATGCTCAAAAATTCAAGAATTTGTATTTTACTGGAGTACAGTATTACAGTATTTAAAATCTTACTTTTTAATTCCACCACATGTATCTGACAGCTAGCTGACTAGATACCAATCAGATGCAATTTTTTTTCCCCCTTCCTGTCAACTGAAAACCATGTATCTCCAGATGATTTTGTCAGAATTCTCATGTTTTGTCACGTTTGTAGTTTTGTATGTCTGGTTATGGGTGTTTTCCTCCTTGTATATTGTCTGGTCCTTCTTCCTGTGTTTTTCCTCCCTGTCGTTAGTTTCCCTGGAGTGTCTGAATGTGTTCACCTGTCGCCCTTGTGTTTCTCCTCCCCTGCCCGGCTGTTTCTCGTCTTGTGATTACCCCTCTCTGTATTTAGTCTTGTCTCTTCCTGTGTTCAGTGTTGGTTCATTATTTGTCATTCCTGTTCCCCTTCATGTGGGTCACTGTAACCTTTGTTTGGACGCTACCTCGTACCTGTACCTGGATTCTTGTTTTGTTCGGCTTTTGGGAAATAAAGCTCGCCTTTTTGCTTCCTTTTGAAACCTGCTTCCTCCTCAATTCTGCATTTGGGTCCTATTTTTCCACACACCCTAACAGATTTTGAATGTTTGTGATGAACAGGAGGATGAAGTGTTTCTTTATGTGCTGAGAAAATCCTTTATTCTTAATTATTCACTTTATAAGCTAGATAAACAATTTTAAATGCCTCTTGGATCCGCTGGGAAATGCATCAGCACAAAGCTAAAAGCAGGGCTGTTTTCCTGGTGAAGAGTGTTTTTTTTTTAAAATATATTGTTTTCACAGGACAGCAGCGCTACAAACATTTAATGATCTTAGATGTTGCATTGCTGTAGATTAAACTACATAAAAGCATACAAAGAAGGTAAAATGAGCACAACCTTAGTAATCAACCACAATAAAAAGCAATCTACACATTAATGCAGCATATATAAAAGCAAAACAATGACAAGATACAGTTCACTGCATACGGCTTTATATAAGTACTTACTTACTATACTGTATGTAGATTATGCTGATAATACTTTCATATTTTACTAAACAATGCAAAGTTCCATTGTGGTAATAGTAAATTGTCTAAGGTTAAGGATCTGAGAACTTTGTCATCACTGTAATTATAAAGACACTGTATTTTATTAAAAACCTTAGAAGAATTCACTAGATTTTACATTTGTCATCACTTTCAGTCAAACCTAAATGTAAAGAAGGCCTTACCTTCACAAATCAACAGCTTGTCGTTGTAGATGAAGCCGATGGGGCACTCACACCTGAAGCTGCCGATCATGTTGATGCACACGCCGTTCTCACACACTCCTGGGATCTCCCTGCATTCATCAATATCTAGCAAATGAGGGAGAAACAAGGGATGAGGGGAGAACAAAACCAACCTTCCTTTTCATCACAAAAACCTTTGATGGGCAGATCTTACCAATGACCCGTCCAGTGGTGATGTCGATGTAATATCCTGGTCTCTCACTGCCGCACAGGATCGCAAACGCGTCTGATTGGGCAAAAGACATTAGGTTATTAACGCTCACTTCAAGTATCTTATCAGGGCTCCTACAGCCACATTTTCTAAATTATTTTTATACTATTCAGAATAAAATTCAAGACTTTTTGATCCAATGAAAAAGTAAGATGATCTATTGAAAACAAAAATAATGTGTTTCACTTTCCAGACCTTTGTAACATTAAGGGGGAGAGGCATTCGGTAAATCTTTTTTATTTTTTTATTTTTTGTGGCATTAATCAAATACATTTAATATTAAGCCAAAACATTTAATATTAAGCCAAAACGTCCTTTATTATTTGTATTATTATTATTTCTTTACATAACTTGTATTTGTATTTGTTGAGCACTTCCGGCAATTGTCACATGGGTGTGGTTTGTGTGTTGTTTAGGTCACCTGTTGCAGGCTGGGGTTGGTGAGGGTGCGCTGATACTTTTTCCTAAGTTATTGTTGTTTTTATTTTGTTTATTAAACATCGTCAACATTTCGACTTAAGTATGGGCTTTCTTCTAAAAAACGTGTCATAGCCTAAAGCCAAGTTTAGCCTCTTGGCGACTCAATTTAATTGGATTGGAGTCAAGTAATTAAGGCCTTATTTTAAAACAATAAATTAAATACGTTTTAAGTTTTAGCACGGGAACCCTGCTTAAACTTTCTGCACATACGTATTTGAGACCTCACCGGTACTGGGCACGGGACACTGTTCACAGGGTTTATTCCATGCGCGGCCAATGTTGTAGGAGCAGCAGCACATCTTTTTAGTCATGTTATAGGTCAGCTCTCCATCACAAGTTTCGTTGTAGGAGTAAAAGTTCCTGTAGCAGTAGCTCTTCCTCATGTCTGTGTGTCAATAAGAAAGAAAAAGTCACTGCATGATTGCATGTCCCCACCATTTTGCTGATTGATAACGTCATGATAGTGCATGTGCAGACCTACCCATGCAGTTGTTCCCTCCATTGACCTGCATGTAGTCCACAGGGCAGATACAGGTGTAGTTCCCGATGGTGTTGTAGCACAGGCCTGGGCCGCAGATGCCTGGTTGTTCACACTCATCAACATCTGCACACAGAGAAAAAGAGAAAGAAGCAGAAATGAGTTAATTGTTTTGAGGAAAACATAGTCTGAAGAAAATGTGTTTAGTTGAGGTGCCTATGTTACTTATTAAAAACGTATGACTCCTTTGTAATTGTTGATTTGTTTAACCGTCACTTACTCTGCTTTTACTGCTGCCCATGTCTATGTTCTTCTTAACGTGTGTCTGTGATTCCCTTATAGCGTAATGGATTTACCTTACGTCATATTTATTGTTTTGAACTTGTTCCTTGATTTTAGGCTGCCAACGTCACACCTGGCTCAGGCCGACAGATGTAAACTAGCCTCCTGCCTAAATGTGGCATATATACAATCATGTTAAATGCATAAATAAAATAAATACGCTTGATAGATGACATGTAATCTAAATAAAGGTGGAAAGGTGCAAAAAGGAGTATTCCAAGATACTGATTTAATACATAGATGATCTACTTATCTGCAAAAATATTCTGATCATATGTTTTGTGTTTTTATTGTCTGTACAAAAACCCAATATAATCATCATCTTTTGTGAAAATACTGTACATCCAACATCGCAGCCACTACAGCTAAAAACAAAATACTAAATATACTTTCTCTATCCTAAATGTGTTCTCCGATAAAATTTCTGCCAGACAGAAAACACATTTCTTGGTCCTCCCTGGCCAGCTAGCAGCTGAGGACATGTGGATGTGCAGTCTGGGATTTTATAGCGCAGACGCCCGCTTTTGTTCTCATGGCCAACAAACACACGCTAATTAAAATGCCGCCAGCCACATGTCATTGTCTAACCCTTAGCCCCCTCCTCTCCTCTCTTTGTTCCTGTTTCCCTTTTCTAAACACCCTTCCCATTTATCTTTTTTCTCCCCCTATCTTCTATTGCTTCATCTCTCCCTCCCTCCGTCATCTCTGGCCTGACTTCGGGGGACTCAGTGTTCTCCCCTGAGGAGAAGGCTGACCACATCAGAGCCTCGCTCCTCTGGACATAGTTAGGCGTTCAGCTGCCTCACTGAGCTTTGCCGGGTTAGCAGCAGACGGGGAACTAGAGCAGAGACATATTGAGCCAAAATGAGCTGCTGTGTCGTATGCAGGACAAGAGGGTCCAACGCTTCCTCGTCTTTCTGCTCTCAGTGCTTTTTCCTCCCTCTCCATGTGTCCTCGCTGAACGAAGGCCTTGACGGCTGAACTCAATTTCCTTCCAAATGAAACCTCCCAAGGCAAGAGCTAGAGAGGAATGGGTCACCTGTGTGTTCATGTATTGGTGGGGTTGCAGTGAAAAACACATTAGTGTGTCATACCTTCACAGACTCTGGTGTCAGCGTTGAGACTGTATCCTCTCTGACACTCGCACTGGAAGCTGCCAAAGGTGTTGATGCACTGTCCTCCCTGGCACAAGCCTGGCAGCTCCTGGCACTCATTGATGTCTGCCAGAGGAGAAAAAGGTAAAAGTCAGTGGGCATTGTGGATGGGAGGATGTGTGTTATCAGTGTGAGTGTCTGTAGGTGTGCACAATGTCTCCTTTCTTATCTCCTTTAACATAGGAGAAAATGCACAACTCCTCACAACAGTAGCATTTAAGATGACTAGAAAACGTCCTTCTTGGGAGGCTTGATTCTGTTTCTGCTACTTGAATTGTGGAGCATTACGTTTTCAGTGTGCTCATTTTCTATTTGTGAAATCAAGTTGCTTAAACATCCAAGTTTAGAGGGTTAGGGTAAGTTGGCATGTGGAGTCAGATTCTCTTTTCACTGATGTTTTCCTTCTTTCTAATTTAACACAAATCCTGGACCTCATTACGTTTCTAAGGAAAAGTGATGAAGAAAAGACATGGGAAGTCATTCCTTTGACTAATCAACTGCAGCCATGATAGCATGTGTGCTGTCTGACCTTCCAAGATGACAGTGATGGGGTTTGGTCTGAAGCCTTCTCCTCCAGGACACAGCGTCTTGTACTCAGCTGTAACACAGCAACACAACACATTAACAAGCAACAATAACACAACAGACAACCCACAGTCAAGGTGGTTTCATTTCAGGACTTGACAGTAACGTTTTGCTGATGGTGAGTTGTTGAGTTAAGTCTCTCTCTGTTGTGCTTTTTCTGATCAACGATCTCAGATCACAGTGGACCTGACATGACTGCAGCTTCTTAGAATTACAAAGCACAAAGACAAAGTTGTGTTCTTGTCATAGAAGCAAGCATTTCCTCAAGCTGCAAGGGATGAGTCATTCCTTGTAATGTTTTAAAACATCTGTTGGTAATTTCTAGTAAGTTGTATAAAGCTGTCTCATCTTTACCAGTAACAACAATTACAGCAAACACACACTCTTTGCATGTTAGGAGCAGGCAGCATGTAGCCAAATGTTCGCAGCTAACTCGAACCATGGTACAAAACAACTTGTAGAAGGAGTTGACAGGATTGTTAAATCCAGTAAACCCTTAAATGACTTTTCCCGATACTGACATTTAAAATCCATTTAGCGTTTACATCCCTTCTCACTTAGGGAGGTCTACTCTCAACTCTACATATCAATTGATGGAGGACAAAGTTGGGAGAATAAACATTTAAAGACAAATTAGCAACATAGAGTAAAACATGTTGGTCTCAAGGGAAAAAAAACACAATCGAACAACAACAATTTGGTCATTCAATAGAACCATTACATTTGTTTAAATATAAGTCAGTGTATTAAGAGTTCTGTGGTTGAGTTGGATTGGTTGAAATATAACCACGTCTATATTGCACAAGTTATCAAACAATAAAAGAGATATTCCAAAGATACTGTAGTTTTGAGAGTCATTAACGAATACATGCCGTAAGAGAGACCTTTTTTTAAGTTATCAATGTAGTCTGAAATTACAATAAACCTTATATTAGGGTGTTTAGGCTCATTTGTAAACTTTCAAATAAGATAATCATGTTCCCACAGGGAGGGAGGGATCAGTATATATATATTTGCAGTGGCACCTCTGTATATCTTGGCTTGAACTGAAACATAAAAATGAACATACATAAAGCAGGCAAAGTCTAAATAATGATGGGATGACTCACTTGAGTTGAGAGCGGGGCAGGATTCACACGGGTTCCCCCAGCCCTGACCCAGAGAGCAGCAGCAGGACGCTTTGGAAACACCAACTCCAATCTCATTGGAGCAGTCCAAGCTCTCTGAAGCATCTCCACGGGAACGCACATCCAGGTAGCAGCTTCCAGAACGAGTGTCTGTGACACACACACACACACACACAACCACACACACACACCCACACACACACACACACACACACACACACACACACACACACACACACACACACACACACACACACACAAACACAAAGGAATAGACATTGTGTATTGCCCTGCTTTAGAATTAGTTGAATGATACGTTGAAATCCAACACCAACAATGTGTGTAGAGAGAACTTGTTGAGTCTCACCTACACAGCCCACCCGGGTGGGGTTGAGCTCAAAGTCTGCAGGACAGTTACAGTGGTAACTTCCAGGGATGTTGACACAGACTCCATTAATGCAGATGGTCGGGTCTGCACATTCATTGATGTCTGAGATAGAAAGACAAAGAAACAGTTTCAACAATTATATCTGAGAGCCTTCAATCGCTGTCAGTAACACGAAGAGGAGCAGGAGTCTGTATACCATGGGAGATGAGAGCTGTTCACTTGTGTTGCACCACTTATTTTACAACCATTCAAATCTCCATAGCTTGTTGGGGCATAAACTGAGCTTCATTGTGCAGGCGGTGGGAGTGGTGTCTTACCTGTGCAGTTGCCTCCACTCCTGTCCAGTTCATAACCAAGACCACAATCACATCTGAACAGTCCTGGAATATTCTGGCAGCGTCCATTGACACAGATGTCAGCAAAGGTACATTCATCTATGTCTGTAAAAAAAAACAGAGAAAGAAAAAGTGATAGAGAGAGAGAGAGAGAGAGAGAGAGAGAGAGAGAGAGAGAGAGAGAGAGAGAGAGATAGACCCAGCTGTGAGGGATTAGAGGATCATGGGATCATGGTGGAAAATTGGCAGCCAGCAATAGGAAGTGAAGGCTGCTCACCTCTGCTAAAGAATGACAAATCTGGGGCAAGAAAAATGCCCGGACATATCCAGACAGACGCACACATACACTATCAGAGCAGCAGCCAAGGTTATGCAATTCTGCTCTTCCACATCATTAGACTCTGCATAAGTCATTACTGTCCGGACCTGCCTGAGTTGAGGCAGGGAGGACAGAACAGGTTATTTCAGGATGTTTGACACATCAGCACAAGGAGGTCAGTCTGCTCGTTCAATTGAATCCAGCAATGTCTTATCAGTGGAAGCATGACTCACACTCGCTACTTGGCATGAAAGACTCTACAGAAGCTCAGCTCAGGATTTTGGAAAAGATCCCTCCTCAGCTATTTTGGTGAACATGTAATCACCTCGATATTTTTATTCTATTCAGTTATAATATCCCTGAAAAGATGTACCTAAATAGGCAAACCTGGATCTAATGTAAGCAAATTATCAAGGTCATGAACCAAGAGAAATGCCTGAAAAGTGCCTGGAGCTTTGTCTCAAACAAAAACTTGGAGAAAAAAAATGGGTTTACAGACCAGTCTACACAACACATATCATTTCAACTGAGAAAATGACAGGCATTTTCATACAATTCAGACTATATGACCTGGTTCCACTCCATTATGAGTGATGGTAATAATGTAAGTCTTTACAAAGTCTATACTTTCTTAAATTATAGTAAATGTTTGATGTTACCTTGGTTGGTTATTGGCTAATGGTTACACAAGCCAAAACATCATTATGACATCATAAAGTGTCAAAAAATCTGAACATCTCATTTTCAGACAGGTTTTTATATAAATGGATCAGGACAAAAAGTGAGAGAATCTTTTTTCCTGAAACTTTCAGAATCTCTTTGATTGAACCAGACCAGATTAAATCATAATTTAGGATGTAAGCACCAATTGCGATGTCTGGAACTCAGATAGTCTAGCAGTGTCATTTTGTCTTACCCTCGCAGGACTTCTGGTCAGGAGTGGGTATGAAGCCCATGTCACATTCACAGCGATATCCTCCGGGGAGGTTCAGACAGTGGCCGCTCTCACACAGGTTGCCGTTCTCTGCACACTCATCACTGTCTGTAGTGGTGATCAAACACACAGGCCGTAAACACACAATGCACATCTTTTAAAAAACAAAAAATGTGGTTTTGAGTGTGACCTGAGCAGTAGAATCCATCTCCAGAGAATCCCTCCTTGCATGCACAGCGATATGAGCCCATGGTGTTGAGACATTCAGCGTTGTTGTTGCACATGTGTGTCCCGTTGGAGCACTCGTCCAGGTCTGAAACACAACAACGTCCCATCACATGATCAACATAGATACAACTCAAATTGTTGAGGAAAGGATAAGCATTGGGATATTTTCTTACTGTTTACAAAACCCATTCAATGACCAAAAACAAATGCATCTATAAAACATTATTACTTCTCAACCATTGTGTGGCACTCATAAATTAATTGCTAATTAATTGCCACTGACGACATACATCTTAGAAAATAGCTCAGAAATAAAGATTTTTGTCGGCTTGATATTTCATAAAACAGCTGGGCACTGTAGTTTTTAACAAACCCTGACAGGGGTAAATAGCGCATTTGTAGGGGGAACAACAAATACACATTTATATTCAAATGTAGCACACTTCATAATTAGACTTTGACAACTTGTGAATATGATCACTTCATTGATGGTTTTGGTTATGTCAGACCAATTTTAAGCAAATCTGAAACAATCTTTTTCCCCCTTTTGTTTGTTTGTTGAATGAATGTATTTACAAACAAGTTTTTCCTCACCTTGATATACTAAAGATTATAAAGAAGACGTGCATCTTGGAAACTGTGGAATTTTCTACACAATAGTTCAAAAGGGTTGTTGAGTTGTCATCTATTATGCATCATGAGGGAAACCACTACATATAAAAAAACGATTTCAATGTACCCATTGAGTGTCGGCCATACCTGTACATTTGACGCCATCACCAATCCATCCTGGAGCACAGTGGCATTTGAAGCCGCCAGCTGTGTTGGTGCAGGTAGCTTGTCTGTCACAGTTATGGGCTCCGATCTCACACTCATTGACGTCTGAGGGGAAACAAAGGAGAAGTCATGTAAAGAGAAATTCTTGTAGACACTGCTCTGATGGTCTGATGATTTGGGTCTGCATTCTCATTCCAGTGGGGTTCTTGGCATTGTGTAGCGAGTTGCTTGGTTTGAATCACATAGAGACAGCAGCAGGAGACGACAGGACTAAGGCTTTCCGGGTCACTGTCTTCATCCATGTATTTCAGAGCAGAAGGCACTGGGCACATTCTCATGATCTCTGATACTAATAGCCTTCCTGCAGAGGTTTAATGAGCACACCCAGTCCCTGGATTTTCATTGTGCAAGTGTGTCCAGAGAGAAAGACCAGGAGGGAGAACAATATACCAACGCCAAGGTCTTGTTCTGTCAAAACTATCATTTCTGAGGTTTTTGTAGGCAACATTTTCCATTTTTGCACACAGACACCACACCTCTCACATGAGGCTTTTTCAACAGCCCTCTTTAAATGCTCATGTTTGCTTTGCTCACCATCCCAAGTTTGGACATATAATCTTACCCAAATATAATTTCTATAAAAATGCGATGAAGTAATGTGCCAACTTTACAAGATAAAGTCATTATAATGACATCAAAACTCTGCCAATGGAGGAAATATCGGGGTACTTAGTCGATAATGTGTTTATAAAAATACCTCCCCAAATTTGATAACCCATTGTATGTGGATTTGGATTCTAATAAATGAACAACAAATAATGAGAACAATTAAATTGGCTACTATTAAATTATGTCCTGCCAAAAAAGCTGTTGACATCCTGTAGAGTATAAGCAATAAGCATCTCCATGAAGCAGCTGGCACTGATAAGATGCTGAGAATGAGGCTCATGTTCCTCAGGCAGTTCTGACTCGATTGGCTACATGGCCCAATGGAAAAAGCCTGTATGTTGCTACAACAATGAGAACTGCTCATAAGAGCCAAAACAACCCTGAGAAACACCGACACAAACAATACCTGGCCCTGAGCCTGACTGAGTGTTACAGCTTTGATACTGTATGGTGATGTACAAAAATGTAAAAACAAATCTTTTCAAACAAATCTTTTTAGTGTCTGTACAAGGTGAACCTGTTTGAGGGGTTATGCATTCTCAATTTTCCCCACTTGCTATAATGCCTGCTATTAGTGAAGTCGCTCATGTCTGAAGTTGTACATTATGACCAGTAATGCATTTAAGATACGCTTTATGGAGTAGGCAGAGCTAGCAGGTATCATATCGAGTGTCACAGAGAAACTGACGTGATATAATAAAAAATATGACGTTTTTTATAGTTTTCCATGTATCAACTAAAAAACTCACATACTGTGAAAGAGTGGGTCTGCTTATCACTACTGTGTGTGTATGCATGTGTTTGTGTGTTCCTGTACATCAAGGGAATCTATGCTATGAACTCGATCAAGATGTGAGGATGTCTGTCTTTGTGAGGGTAGTAATTCAAAACACTGTCAATTAGAGATTAATGCTGCTGGTTTACAGTCTTTCTGAGGAGAGGGTACGGTATATTTACTCTACAGATGATGACAGGCCTTAATGTAAGGGTTTGGAGCAAACAAATCTACCTGAATTACAGATGGAATTAAACACCATTTCCTTCAAGCCTTTGATGACAGAGAGAGCACCAAACACACACACACACGTTCTCTTGTGGAAATGTAAAATGCACAGAGGTTGTTGCATGCGAGAAGCATGTCAGCTGTTACAGCTGGTGTCAAAGAGGAGGCTTGATTTAACTAGGACTAATGTTTGACAGATGAAGAGCAACACATTAAAAAGGGATAAAAAGGGATAGCAGAGAATTACACATCTGCCTACCTGGCTGTCCAACTGTCTCCTAGTTTGCATACCTGCCTGATTGCCTGTCTGTTTGCATCTTTGTCTGCCTGCCTGTCTCGCTAGTAGCAATGGGATAGGCAGGTTTTATATCAGATCATGTGTGGTCATGTTTTTTTCAAATGTAAAGCACATTGAGTTTCTTTGCAAGGATATGTCATATGCCTGCTAGGATTGGTGCCTTCTTGACAACCTGGCCCCCCAAGACATAGCTACAAACCTAAATATCTGCTGATCCAAGTAATATTAAGCATCTTGAATATCCAACGTTTTCTGAATAGACACTTTTCATCTTCTCCTTTTGTCTTTTTATAAACAAGCATCATCTGAGATTGTGTCACTTTTGAATACATCTGTAGCCACAACACAATTAAGAGATAATTGTACAACTTATAAGCAGTGTAACTATATTACGAGTAGAGAAGGTTCATTTAGTCAGCAAGCTAACTCAGAAATGTCATTTAAACAACAATATAGATGGCTAACATTAGCCACCATAAGCTACTGATCATACCAGACTAATTAAGACTGTAGAATAAAACCCCCCCGACTGTGTTGAGTTTAATAAAGTTGTATTTTATTGCCTTTTTTTTTGTTGCATAGCCTTCCTTTAGTTGCTAACATTTTTGCACAGTTTTGTCATTCAGCAGGAAGATGATAAAGTCAACATGCTTAAAGCCTTAACCCTGATCCTCTCCAGCCCTGTAAACTCCCCCAGAACATCTCCACCCAGTGCTAACATTTCAGTACACACGCAAGGCACTAAAGTGCTCAAATGTACAAACAAATACCCACACCCTGCCCACTCAGTGTTTTGGATTCAAAAAGGGAAACCATTCTTTTGGGAGACTCATCATCAGCTGGATCAGGACTGGCCTCATTAAAACTCACACAGGAAGATGCATGCCAGCCATAGGGCATACTGACAATGTCAACCAATTCATTTTTGCATTTTTGTTAGAATATACCGGAGGGGGATTCTCTCCCAAAGAGTGAAGCATGTTTGTTCCCTTGTCTAAAGCAAGACATCCTGCCTGTCTGTGAGGAATTAGTGTCTTGATTCTTTGGTATTTTGGGGCTGAAATTCCAAACCTGTGAATCAGAAGTAGCTGCAGCACAAGCTTTCTCAAAACAAGGAAAACCCTGTATGGTGATTTTAATGGGATTAGAACGAGCAAGAGTGTGTGCGAGTGAGGGAGTGAGTTTTAATCATACTTCAGATAGATCTGTTTATTTGCGTCTGAAGGAAGACGTGCTTCTGCTGACTCATTTCCATCACGGAGACGAGGCCAGATAAGGTCACTGACCAAGCTCTCCAAACTTTTAACTGAGCATGTAAATCAGACTTAACTCTGAACTGAACGAGGAGTAAGTCCAAACTAGCAAAGACTCTACCAGCCGTAAGGACTTTGTATTTATGTGTTCTGGAGCCCTTTCCAGGGATTACGTGCTGCAAAACTCTTCCAACAATCACGTAATGTTTAACTGAACTTAATGAAGGGGCAATTTAAGAATAAACAAAGATGCAATGTGATGCTTCTGACACAAGAGAGTGATCTCACTGCTCCTGCTCCTGAAGCTGATGCATGTGAGTGTGGGTAAACATGTTTGTCGTCAAGTCACACAGGAGCTCTCGAATGAAGATGATTAATTTAAGAGCTGTGGTTAGCCAGACAATCACCTTACATCCTCTAATTTCTCACCCTTCTATTTGGCTTGCTTTCAGTTCACACACACGGGTAGGAATACTTAAATGTGCGTTTGTTTCGTTAACCTGTGCAGCCTGTGGTTCCCTTGCGGACCGAGTATCCCGGGTCACAGTGGCAGATGAAGGATCCCTTCGCGTTCTCACAGTTCCCACTCAGGCAGATGTCTGGATTCAGCTCACACTCATCCACATCTAGACAGGGGAGGGAAAATAAGAGTGGTTCAGAGACAGAGCAAGAATTTTAAATTGCTGAATATAAAAACAAAAAGGGAAAAGTTCATGGCAATGAATTATCTTTTGTTGGTTCGGGCTTGCCAAACAGGTTTTGGTTAAGCTGTGATGTATGCACATGAGTCACAAAAGAAGTACATCATGAAATATATTAAGGCTTTAAAATGCATTTACTTTCAATAAATACACCAATAAGAGAGGATGTGTTTGTGCAGATCCGTTTAGAAGTCCTTACATCATAGATGGCAGGTTTTTGTTTTCTCACTCAGTGGAAACAGACGCCTAAATGTCACGAATTCCTCCCTGCTCAACCCTACTAACTAGGGATGGGTACCGAGCCCCGGTATTAAACGGGCCCCGGGGCTGAATTATTAAAGACCGTGGTACCGTTAAGCTCCGACGTTATCGGTCTTTTTATCGTTACTGGAGACATTTAAAAAATATATGTATTATTGCTAAATAAACATTATATTGTATTCTTAGTGTCGCCAACTCTGTTTCTAACATGCAAAAAGACAAAAAAATGAGTCTATGATGTATTTTCGATCTTTCCAATCCAGACGAGAGATCTCTCTCTTCCGCCTGTGTGCGAGGGGGTGGGGCGTTTTACACACACGCAGCTGCTACATGAATGCACCGGGTTCGACTGTCTTTCTAGTAGCTCTGTAGCCCCATCCACAAGTAACGTTTCCACGTCAGGTGTTATGTATGCTAGCAGCAACACACAGAGTTAACTAAATTATACAAACATGGGTTAATGATTAGAGGTAACTGAGTTATTTATTTTGTTTAAGTTTCAGCTATTCTGTTTACAGTTCTGTCATCAGATTATTTAATACGATTTGTAAAATACGATTTTTAATACAATGTTGTTTCTTTTGATGTGAAATATTATTTATTTTATTTAAATAAAAAGCAATGTTCATTTTGTTTACAATTTGTTTAGTTAACTTTTTTCTCATGACTCATGTCTACCTTTCGAATGAGTTTTTTTTTAGTATATCTCAGAAAACCCTCTGGATCTTATAAGGGCTGAGCTGCAGAGAGGTATACTGCTGCAGTCTTTTGAACAAAAATGTGCATCCATTACCCAGGCAGGTCTTCATATCCTCAGATGACATGAACCCGTCATAGCACAGACACTGGTACGTCCCTGGGGTGTTGGTACACTGGCCTCCATCACAGATGTCTGGGCTCTCCTCACACTCATCAATATCTGGAGGTTGAAAAGGGAGAGGCAAAAAAAGTAAAGAGAAATGAGAGCAGACAAAGTGCAGAGGACAAAAGTAAAAAGCTCTTAGTAGTATTTATCCAGGATTGAAAGTTGATGTATTATTTACCATACAATTATTTCAAAAAGAACACATTACGATTATATAAAACAATGCTAGGACTTTATTTAGGAAATGATTGTGCCAGAGTAACAAAGATACAATAAACACAGCAGCATAATAATAAAACCGTACACTAACAGTGTACTAAAAAAAAGCTAATTGAATAGCTACAAGAAACATAACGGTAAAAAAAATCATATAAAAAATTGTAAAGAACTGTACATTGACGCGCAGTATTGAATAGTGCAAAACAGTAGGGGCAGATACGTAATTGCACGTTATTATTGAACATTATTGTTAATATTGCACATGTTATATAGCAGAGAGTGTTTAGCAGAATACCGAACAATACAATACAATATAAGTTTACTTTGTCACTCATAAATGAGTCGGGTGAATTCAGGACACAGCTTGAGAGATAAAGTGAGCATTATGCAGAACAATGGTAAAGTATTTTTAGGCTCTTCTTTTGCACTGAAAATACCCTTGTGCTGCTTTGATCTATATCTGAATTGATCTCTGGTAATTAAAGGAGTATGCATCACAGGATACATACAGGAAAGCCTAATTTAAAGATAAAACTTGACTACCCTACGAGGAGTAAATATCATGAATTGATTAATAAGCACAATCTACCATTATTTGACAGCATTTTGGACCTAACAAACAAATCAATCATCAGATTTAACCTAACCTTTTTTCTCTGCCATCCAACGTTTGTTTTCTTTGAACATGTGCCAGTCAAATCACAGCAGTGATTCTCTCTCTTTGTTCCTGCTCTTAAATCAGGGCTCTCTGAACCCAGCCTTTGAATAACTTCTCTTCTACCACATGTGCAATCTTTGGAAAATGTTCTGACTAGTCAAATCTATCATTGTAAGGCAGTTTTCTTTAGTAAAATGTGGTAAAACTGAATGTCAAAGTCAACAAAGTTTAAGTGTGACAGACAGATATGAAGCTGCTCACCAGTGCAGCTTCTCAGATCGGGCATCAGGGCGTATCCACTGTGGCAGCTGCACTCATAGCTCCCCTCTGAGTTGGTGCAGAACGTCTCACAGCCACCATTCTCAATCGTACACTCGTCGATGTCTGACAGGCAGAAAAACACAGGCTGTAACATACCGCTAACATTTATTTGTCAGATAACCACAATGAGAACAGAAAGAAATAATCAGTGAAATGTTCGATACCCACCAACACACTCCACTCTGTTCTCGGTAGATTTGTATCCAGTGTCACAGGTGCACTGGTAGCGGCCGATCATATTGACACATTGTCCGTTCCTGCACAGCCTGTCACTCAAGTTACATTCATTGATATCTGTGAAAAAACAATATAATTTTCTTACATATCGTTTAAAATCAATAAGGATAACCGACATTTAAAGCTGAGGGATGTAGCTGGAGTAAATTAGGTAAGTCACATACTCCTACATCTCAATCCAGTGCCATTTAAAGTGCCATTGAGCCAGGCACCTATCCATTGCTGTCAGGAATTATTTTCATAATTGAATTTGTTCAGAGGATTCAGTGTTTTATGGGGATAAATTGGACATTTCCAACAAGAAATCTGACATAATTAAGCACACTATGCCCCACCCTATCATTATCACCATTTGAGCACTTGTTACTTCATCAGAGATAATGAAGACCATTGTCTCAGAAGGGAGAAGGGCAGTTTTCAGTAATGCTTTCATTGTTTTTATTACTTTGGGAGGTAATAAAGAAAATAAATGAGTGTGAAGGGCAGTGGTTAAGTATTAAGTCATGGACTGAAAGCTTCACACGCTGCATTAGGTCATGAGAATGACACACAGTGAATAATGCATGATCAGCTCAACTCTATAAACTAAACATGGGGGCTGTGAAACTAGAAAGCATGGGAAGAGTCTTGTTCTTGTAGAAAGAAAGTTCTGTAAACACATTTGGAGTCAAATAAAGTTGCAAGAAAAAGTATGTGAACCCTTTGGAACTACCTGGATTTCTGCATAAATTGGTCATAAAATGTGTTCTGGTCTTCATCTAAGTCACAACAATAGACAAACACAGTCTGCTTAAGCTAAAACCACACAAACAATTATGTTTTTATGTTTTTATTGAACACACCATGTAAACATTCACAGTGCAGGGTGGACCCTTGGATTTAATAACTGGTTGACCCTCCTTTGGCAGCAATAACCTCAACCAAACGTTTCCTATAGTTGCATATCAGACCTGCACAACGGTCAGGAGGAATTTTGGACCATTCCTCTTTACAAAACTGTTTCAGTTCAGCAATATTCTTGGGATGTCTGGTGTGAATCGCTCTCTTGAGGTCATGCCACAGCATCTCAATTGGGTTGAGGTCAGGACTCTGACTGGGCCACTCCAGAAGGCGTATTTTCTTCTGTTGAAGCCATTCTGTTGTTGATTTGCTTCTGTGCTTTGGGTCGTTGTCCTGTTGCATCACCCATCTTCTGTTGAGCTTCAATTGGTGGACAGATGGCCTTAAGTTCTCCAGCAAAATGTCTTGATAAACTTGAGAATTCATTTTTCCGTCGATGATGGCAATCTGTCCAGGCCCTGAGGCAGCAAAGCAGCCCCAAACCATGATGCTCCCTCCACCATACTTCACAGTTGGGATGAGGTTTTGATGTTGGTGTGCTGTGCCTTTTTTTCTCCACACATAGCGTTGTGTGTTCCTTCCAAACAACTCAACTTTGGTTTCATCTGTCCACAGAATATTTTGCCAGTAGTGGAACATCCAGGTGCTCTTTTGCAAACTTCAAACGTGCAGCAATGTTTTTTCTGGACAGCAGTGGCTTCCTCCATTTTATGACCAATTTATGCAGAAATCCAGGTAATCCCAAAGGGTTCACATACTTTTTCTTGCAACTGTAGGTGCTTAATTGACCAAACTGAACTGAAACTGGAGGACCCTGCTTGTTATTCTGCACATTCAGTGCTGAGTCATTGTAATGTAACTTTATAGAAAGTGCAAAAAGCTGCCTATGTTAACACAACAAGATGGCTGAATCTTTGTCAATCATCCAATGAGAGCGAGAAAGAAGGATAATGCATCCAAACTAAACACAACAAATAAATCAGAATAAAGTACAATGTACTGGTACCAAAATACAATTAAGGAAATAAGATGACTATTTAAGATATAAATAGAACCATTTGGAAAAAGTTTGGAGAGTTTGCTCGGATCTCCTCTCTGATGACATCATCACTCACCTAGACAGGCTGACCCGTCGGGGGCGATCTCATGTCCATCGGGGCACAAACACTGGAAGCTGCCCTCCGTGTTCAGACACTCACCACCGCGGCACAGCAGAGGGTTCCTCTCACACTCATCGATGTCTGTGGAAGAACAGCATAAAAAGATTGGAAGAGTTGCTATTTTTTGATAAAAAAATATTGTCATCAATGTCTGATGACAACCAGGAGATATATTTTCCAAAATAGTGAGACTCCAATTTAGGAGAGACTGTGGGAGAACATAGAAGGTATTTTATCGCTGTTTACTAAAATTGCATAGTGAAAAAATACGAGCAGCAGCTTCAAAGCTGGAAGTGATGTTAAGAACTGCCACTTACAAACAAAAAGCTTTGCTAACCCACTGACTGCAGCTCTGCAGTTTTTGCCACAGCCTAAAAGTAATTTCTCAGCCAATTTTCGTCTAATTGCAGCTTTCGGCCAACAAAAGTATTGAGACTCTCCATTTTGTGTGTAGTATTTTTCCCAAGAATTAATCAGATGGTCTCAAAGGAAGAACAGAAATAGAGCATTAAGTATTTTCACAGATGGCAGAACATTACGACTTAGAGTTGCATATAAAAAAAACAAATTGCTGGGCAGCTGATGGTGTCTCTCACATGTCATAAGGAACAATTATCTTTTCGGACTTTATGGAGCAGTTTTTCTATTCTCATTCTCTCTCACTTGAGGTCAACTTAAACACACACACACACACACACACACACACACACACACACACACACACACACACACACACACACACACACACACACACACATATTATATTTCAGATGACATCAGCCGTCTAAACAGTGAGTTCCACGTTCGGCATGTTAGCCTAAGCACCTCATCCAGAGTTTACGGCCCAGGAGGGAGTGTGAGGACAGGGCTGGGTTGTGAGTAGAGCAGCGTTAGTGTGGAGGCTCTATAATTTAAGAACTTTAAAGTTCGGCAAACCTCTGGTCTAAGATGCTGCCACTGAGTGTGTGAAAGACCAAGTTTTTTCAATCACGCTCTCAAAGACTAAATTATTTCATTAAAGAGAGCTGTCTCTGGATGTAACTGTACCAAATAATCTAATGCTGAAGGTTCAATGCATGTGATTTAAGTGTGTTGTTGTATGAGGATTCAACACTCACCCATGCAGTTTTTCATCATCATAAAGCCACTTTCGTATCCTTCGAAGCACTCGCATTCAAAATCTCCGGCTGTGTTTATGCACCTGCCCTGCCCACACAAGTCCACAGAGATGCGGCACTCGTCGATGTCTAAAGGAAAGGAAGGATAAAAAAACATCTGTTTAAAACAGCACAAACATTCACGCATGCAGTGAGCGCCTGTATTTTTTTAAATAGAAGGATACAATTAAAGAAACCTTATTGTTGCCGTGAAACACGAGATTTCACTCTCAGTAACAAATTAATTTAACACAGAAGAGATGGACTGATGAGATCCCTAGCAAAATCATTGAGGCTAAAATACATATTATAATGTAAGGCAGACAAAGCATTAAATATTTGGACATCATTTACTACATGAAACAAAGGCTATAAAAGGACATTAAAGGGGAAGATGATTTAGACAGACTTAGCTCTTCAAGCAGATTCTTCTAGAACTAAAACCATGATCCCCCAATGTAATCCACATTTTGAAACACTTAACACAAAGACTGGGATCTCATTCATATGGGGTTAAAAGGTCCCAGATATAATTTACTTACTAAGAGCCTATAAATTATTTAAGAATAAAGCCAATGAACTGGCGTTTAAATCTAACATGATGTGTTCACATTTAAGCAGAGCACATATGCAGCTAACCAGACTACAAGGACCCGCTCCAACAAGTCAAAGGAAGCCAGGCTCCCATTAGACTGAAAGAGCTCAAAGTAGGCCATGGCTTTAAACCACTTCACTGTAATTAGTGTTAGCAGAGGGATTCAGAAAGAGTGACTGGTGAAGAATCAAGCATACAGTGGAGCAAATATTCTAGGCCAAAAAATCAGGAACATGAATGTCAGCTCTTAAAATATTATCAAGACTCTAGGTGAAGAGCTAATTCATTCAGAGATGTTTTCGGTATTTTAAGATGTTTTAGGAAGATAAATCAATACTTTTTCAAACTATCAATAGGATGTTTAGTTTCTAAAATGTCAGAAAATAGCGCAGTAGGTCCGTCACAATTTTCAAGAACCACAGCAGGTAAAATAGTCCTACATTCCATTTACAATGGTATTGAACAGAGTTGTTTTAGATGCTGGAGCCAGCAGTTTTTTACCTTTTCATTTGGATCAACTATTAAACTGTTGTTGTTGACTGTATAGGTATTCAGCTGATTGCTATAGTACAACTTACCAGTGCAGTTCCTCTCATCAGAGTCCAGAGCATAGCCGTTATCACAGCGACAACGGAAACTGCCGATGGTGTTTCTACACCTTCCATTTGAGCACAGCGTGTTTATCATTCTGCATTCATTTAAATCTAAAGTATAGAGCAGAGAGATAAAGGCAAGTTATAGAGTATTCATGAGACACCACAGGCAGTTGTGCAGTGTGTGGAGGGTACAGTACCTTTGAGGAAGGGTCTGCCGTTGATGAAGTCGCCCCTGTGCGAGAAGCCTGGTCCACGAGGACAGAGCTGGTTGTATTCTGGAGTCCCTTTCTCAGGACACTCGTCACACTCAGGGCCCCAGGCTACACCCACGGAGCAGCAGCAGGCGTCTACTCGCTGCTTACCAGAGATGGGAGCCGCACAGCGCTCGTCCTCATGGGTGAGATAACAGTGCTCCATACGCAGGTCTGAAATCATGTTCGATGCATTTCATATAAGAATACGAAGTGGTATTCATTAAACATCTAACACATGATGAAATAAATGATTTGTTTAAAACAATGAATCAAATATCACGGATGCTGATGATGATGACCTAAACTTTTATTTTCATGAACAATGTACACTAGAAACGTTTTTAAGGTTCTTCTTGCCCCTTTTGAACATGACGGAAACTATTAAACTTGTTTTTTTTATATTGTGAACGTTTTTTAATTTTTTAATTTTGCTTGTCTTTGTTATAATCATTATTATAATTATTATTGTTTGTTTTGTTTCTAACATGTTCAATAAAGTGACTAATACAAATCAAATAAAACACATGACATAGAAACAGTACAATTATTTCAATACACCTACATGCAGACAAGGTCTGCACAAAATCTGAAATATCCTGACTTTCCAATATTGTTTTTTCTTTCACAATATATTACTCAACAAACCAAGTACAACCAAGATCTCCTAAATCTGAGTAAATGTTCTAGTAAACAGACGCCCTTGTCATGGAAAATGAGAGTATTACATGTTTTTTGTTTGCATAAAGTACAAGGAATTTGTAGCATGGCAATTTTAATTTGCCTTGCCTGACATTGAACGTCCTGCAATGTGTCTACTGCTCATATGACATATCACGGCTATGCTGAAATACACACACACACAACCTACCAATGCATGTCCTGCCGCTGATATCCACAGTCATTCCTGGAGGGCACTGGCAGAAGAAGGAGCCCGGTGTATTGATGCACTTTCCATTGATACACACTCCGGGAAACACTCGACACTCATCCACATCTGACAGTGAAAACAGAGCCACATCAACAACAGGTTCACTGTTTCTCATTACTCAAGTGAATTGCTGGGTCTACGTAGCAATCAAAGCAGTTTTACCTTCACAGATATTTCCTTTGACCCTAGCAAGGCCTTTACCACAGAATGGATCTGAAAAAGAAGGACAAACAACACATTGTCAGTCAATGCGGTACACTAAAATGTGCAAAATGGTGCAAAAAGGTCACCTCACCTTTTTCACATTTGGCACACGGGCTGTTCCAGGCTTCTCCCAGTGTGGCGCAGCAGTGGGACTTTAGTGTGGCCCCGTTGATGTTGACCTCACAGCGATTATTGACTATCTTAAGCCAGCAGGTGCCCTTAGTAGTCTCTGTTTATATGAAACAAACCTTTCTAGTTACTCACATTGTGTATGCAGTTGATCACTGAGCAAAGAAAGGGAGATAAATACTTCATTTTAAAACCAAATCAAACTATTTGTAATACTTGATACTGTTAAATAATGTTGACTTTTAATTAACCAAACTGGGGGTTTCATTCATAATTTTTTTTTAATGTTGAATAAATAAAGATTTTAGTACATTTTTCCTCTAATTATATACAATTTGAACCTTTACCTATACACTCCATCCCAGTGCTGTCCAGTGAACTGCTGGTTGAACACAAACACACAAAGGACCCCAGGCTGTTCTTACAGTCTCCGTTAATACAGGGGCTGGACAGACACTCATCCACATCTGTCGGAAACACAACAACAGCAGATTATTGTAAATCTGATACAACACACAGCACTTTAAGTGATGTAGTTCCAACAGAATGATTGAGTCTCTAACCCTCGCAGACGTCTGTTTCGGGATCAAAGACGAATCCTTTGGGACAGTGGCAGGTGAAACTGCCCGGTGTGTTCCTGCACTGACCGTTATCACACAGCTGACGGTTCATCAGACACTCATCAATATCTGAGGAAACAGAGAGACATCATGACAGATATCACACTGGCTCTTCATATCAGGGCTGTATTATTTTATAGAAGACAAGGACATTACAGAGCAGTCAACCTACCGACACAGTTTTTGCCCGTCAGGTCTATTTCAAAGCCTTCATTGCAGGTGCATTTGTATGTCCTCAACATATTCTCACACACTCCATTCTGGCAGATATCAGGGTCGAGGGCACACTCGTTAATATCTGAGAAGGCAAAGAATAAACTGTTCAACATCAAAGCAAAGATGAGTAATAATAACCAAATGTAAGTATATATGTAACCATTGCAATGGTTACCTCTTCCATCACCGCTGATGCCAGGGCCACTGGGGCACAGAGCCAGGAAATCAGCTGCAACAAAACGCACAAACAGCACAGTTAGGTTGACAAAAAGAAGAATTAAAAGTGTTTGAGAAAAATGTCACATTTGCCAAAATCCAAGAATTCTCAAAACAGAACATCTAATACCATGTCATTATCCATTTCTACGCTTTCTCATTTAGCCTGGATGTATATAAAAGCCTTCTCTTTAATGTGGTGCAGCTCTGGCGTCTTTTGATATAGAAACTTTAATTGGCAGGACTAATAAGAAGTCACTGGATGGTGTGTGTGTGTGTGTGTGTGTGTGTGTGTGTGCGTGTGTGCGTGCGTGCGTGCGTGCGTGCGTGCGTGCGTGCGTGTGTTAGGTGGGTGTTAGGTGGGTGTTAGGTGGGTGTTAGGTGCCAGGAGGTGGCTCCATGTGTGTAAAGGGTGGAGTAATTTGAAGATCCGTACCAGAGCTTTGTGGTGGGCAGGGTTGGCAGGGCTCTCCGTAGGCGTACTCGATGCTGGCACAGCAGCACTCCGACTTGGTAACAGCTCCAAATAACGGTCTAACACACTGCCCTCGCGTGTAGCCACCATAACAAGAACTGCGCATATGTGTATCTGTTTCGGACAGAAAAAGACAACTGCGTGTGAGAAACAAGGATGATGCAAGAGATCTGAAAAGAGGCTTAAAACAAAGCAAAGCAGAGAGAAATTGAGGCGGGATTCCACAGCCCTAATAAACAACAACACTGGCAAAACAAACTGTTGTTCTCCTTCAGTGATTTGACGCACCCTCCTTTGCTGAAATCTTTCTGACGAAGAAAACTCACCCAGGCCAGACCACAGCATTTCAACATTTAACACAATACACAGTGACATTTGGGGGGAAATAGGAATGTTTAGAAAGAAACATAATCAGGTCTACTCTACTAGTGCCAGTCCAGGGAATGGGAGCACAAGGAAACAGGAAAATATTTATCAACACATCAACGCTCATTAATGATAGTGAGTGTGTGTTGTATAAGCTGTTGGTAAAGTAAATTATAGCGCGATTATACTGTAATTAGGAAACTTTGAGCTACTATGAGCTATCAGTTTCTTAAAAAAGAGGGATCATTTTGACAAAAGCTTGTTCTAATGACCAGTAATAGAAATTAGTTTTATAAACAGAGAAATAGTTTTAAAAAACAGAAAAGTAAGTTTGTATATTTTCTGTGCAGCACAAGAGAACTTTCCCCAAAGTTTCTGCCAGACATGCCGGATACTGAAAGAGGGAGTTTGTTTGTCTTGCCTGTAAGTTTACTGTTTGCCATGGTCTTAAAAATGAACACATTCCTGAAAACAAAACATTTACTCACCAACACAGACCCGTCCATCCAGGCCCACTGCCATCCCAGCCATACACTCACAGCGGAAGGAGCCCTCCGTGTTGATGCAGTGGCCGTTCATACACATGCCTGGAGTCTCACACTCATCAATGTCTAGAAACAGATGCAGAAAAAATGACTTCTCTTTACAAAATAAATGGTAAGAGGAAATTCACAATTTCCTGCTTAAGCATTATTAAAGTCCTCAGGTGCTTGATTCATTTAAACAAAGATTGAGCCTGAACGTCTGCACAGTTTCAGTTATATGACCTCAACTAAGAAAACATTATTTTCTTTCCCCTTGATCCCATCTGCGTATTACAATCATTATCATAATGAGCGTAAACAATGATATTGCATGCACGAATAAGAGTGTGTGTTCTGTCTGGGTGTGTTGTGGAACAGACTGCAGACTGTAGATATAAATGATGAGGCCCCGGGGCCCCTTTAGACTACACATTTCATTAATGACTGCATACATCAGGACACTTCACCCACTCCCTACTCTCCTATTTATTTATTCTGCAATGACTTAACAAGGTCAGTGTCTCAGAGATCTAACGTCTGTATCTGAAGCCATGTGGAGCACAATGGCTGCAAAATACTTGTTTTCAATGGAAACGGTTTCGCAGTTTTACTGTACATTTCATTAATTTAAACTTTGTCGCATAAGGTTCCACTCATCATTATAATATTTGACAAAATGGTCAATCCAAAACAATTGTTACAGTAGGTGACTCACAATTTTGCAATTGAACAAGTTTAAGGAGATTTGTCTGTTAGGATCTAAAAATAGGCGGGCCCAACAATGCATGTCCAGCTGGCCTGCCGGGACACTGGGGGACTTTTCCAAAGCTTGTAGGGGGATTTTTGGCTTGTTTGCTAAGAGCCACTAACATGCAAGAGAGGTAGACATCTGCAAGCCTTGTCAAAAGTTGAGAAACTTAAAGTATCTTCTAGTGTTGTAGCCTGGTATGTTAGAATTTAGAGATGTGTTGGTAATAATCTGTGGCTCCTTCTGACAACCTACCTACACACATGCGTCCATTGCCGTCAAGCAAGAATCCAGGTTTGCAGATGCATTTGAAGCTACCATCATCATTGATACACAGTCCATTGAGGCACATGTTCCTGATCAGACACTCGTCTTGGTCTGTGGATAAATAGAAACAAATGAAAATGCAGTGGTTAAAGACCCAATTGGGGTGGGGTCTATTCACAACACATTTGCACCAAGCTCTATAATTATGGATTTTGGAGCACGCTTGACAAAAACAACAGTCATGATTTTGAATAAACTCTATTCCTATAACCTATCTCTAAGTGTAAATAATATAATCTGACTAGAGATTTGACTAGTGTTTATAGCTGTTCCTAAAGCCACAGTGGAAAGCTGGTGAAATCTGGGATACATTTTCAGCTTTTGGAAGCAATTTATAAATTAAGTTCCTAAGCTATTTGATCATCCATGGCTAAAGCAAGTTTGCAAGACTTAACAGCAAACTCAAATTAATGGAAACAAATAGATGCCTGCATGGTAAGCAAAAATAAATAAACTAACATATGAATAATATGGAAAAAGGTTGATAGTAATATAAAATGATCATATTTTGTAGTTAATTGGCATAAACACATAAAAGCAATACCGTGATAATTTAAGATGCTGTCTATTACGTCCATGCCTCCTACAGGCATTGATATTAAAACCGCCCATAACAAATCCACGGTCCATTAAATGTAACCATTACATATACTGTATTAATTACAGAAAACTAGCCGTGTCTAAAATCCATAAATGTGATGTCAGTACTTGACAGACCTTGACAGTTTTTGCCGTCAGATGTAATCTCAAATCCAGCATTGCAGACACAATGGAAGCTGCCCACGGTGTTCACACAGCGGCCGTTATTGCAGATGCGACCGTTAGCGACACACTCATCCAGATCTGGCAGAAACAAACAGAGTGTACAGTTAACACATACATCTTCGCGACTTGGCATGCACATGTGAGCGTGTGTGTGTGTGTGTGTGTGTGTGTGTGTGTGTGTGTGTGTGTGTGTGTGTGTGTGTGTGTGTGTGTGTGTGTGTGTGTGTGTGTGTGTGTGTTACCTCTGCACTCTGTCCTGGTTGCAGTAGTCTGGAATCCAGCAGGACACTGACAGATGTAAGACCCTGGGGTGTTCACACACTCTCCGTGTGCACATGGGCTTCTCTCACATTCGTCATCATCTGGAGAAAAAACATAAAGCTCATAAACCTTCTTCACCTCCATGTTCCTCCAGTTTAGAAACGTGTTCCCTATTCTATCAGGAACTTACCCAAGCACTCTCCTCTTCCATCCAACCTGAAGCCCATGTTGCACTCACAACGATATCCAATGCCCGGCATGGGGATGCACCTGCCATTCAGGCAGAGGTTGCGGAAGGCCTGACACATGTTGGTGATGTTCTGCGTGAGGATAATCCCGGATCCTGATAGAATAATTCACACAAAAATGTTACCAAACAAAAAAGTGTTTGCGTTAGTTGGTTTAGCTTTTTTTTCGTCATATATTCATTTTGAAGGGGCTTAGGTCATTATAAAAGTATTAAAGAATGATATAACAAATCAAAATGAATGGTACCCAAAAGCAAATCAATATCAATCTGATTGGGGCAAGAAAGCTCTGAGTTGTTTGATCTTCTTAAGAAACGCCCAAACTGTGCCAAAATGCCTTGCAAAATGGTTTTGAAGGAAATGTTATTGCGGAAGATTAACCAAAATAAACTCTATTCGTTTAGATGATCCTTTTCTGCACATATTAAATCCATATATTTGCTGCAATACCCAGAGGTTATAAATAGCAGTGAATGTTTTCCATCATTGAAATAGACTTGTTAGCTAGAGTGTTGTGCATGCTCAAAACTGGAACACACAATAACAAAAGAGCAGTTTGAGGTTGAGTATTGCACATCCATTGATTAGGACCAGAATAATAAACTATCTATGCACACATACACTTTTAAGACATGCTGTGAATGTGAATAAAACAAAAGACAGCAGGACCATACCTGGTCGAGGTTGTAATGGTAGTTGTCCTGGAAATGGGAATTGTCCTGGGATCTGGCCAGGATTTTGACCAGGATACTGGGGTAACTGGCCAGGATTTTGACCAGGATACTGGGGTAACTGGCCAGGTTTTTGACCAGGATATGGAAGTGGGTAGATGGCAGGGAGGTCGGGACTCCCTGGGACACGACCAGGAATCACTCCATTGTTCCCATCAGGTATCTGGATGCACAGTTTCTGGTACTCTTCTAAAATGACGAAAACCAATAGGAGGTAAGCTCCGTGTTGAGACATGGAGACAGATAGCTGAGAACAAGACATTTAAAGCATTGTGATGGTAAATGGCCCCACCTGATCCACGAATGGGACACATTTCCGGGGAGGATCCGTCAGACCAACAGCGTCCACTATCACAGCAGCACTGCATTTTGGTCAACAGCTGCGAGTTTTGGTTGGCGCAGCGCCCATTCAGCACGCTAGCGTAGCAGTACCCTCCACGGGAATCTGTGGGAAACAGCACAGCATGAAGTTAAACCAACCATGATGTATGGAATATGGCATGTGTTGTCTGCATGTTGAGCAAATTGGCAGGAGAACAATCAAAAGCAGTCTTGGTTGCTTCAGATTTTCCATAATTTGGACGATGGAAGCCATTTCCAATAGTCATCAATTCATATTTATGAGAACCTTTCCTACATCTTGCAGTTTCTGGCACTGTGCAGTAGCATGACTAACACTCAGGTTCCCCATTAACATAAATATATCATGTCGTGTTTAACACCCAACCCATCCAGCGCATTCACATGGAGAAACTGACTGCCTATACCACTGATTGCTTGGTTAACTTCGACAAGATGACAGGCAAGCAAAGTGGCTGGAATAAAAACAGTTGGGCCTTGTCAGGGTTGGAGTGGACTGTGCTGCATGGGAAACAGACTAAAATGTTTGGTACAACACTTTTCTGGAGCAATAGACTCAGACATTCCTTCCTCACAAACATCCTCTCCTCGGGGGGTAATGTGAGCGCGTGTTTGCATAATATGTTTGTGTGTGAATCCAAGTGTGTATGCATGCGCATGTGAGTCTGTGCGTGTATATCTAATGGACTATTCTGACTCAAATTCCTCCGTAAAGTAGGTCTGTTTTTGGTCAAACTGAGCTGAACTTGAGAGCTTTGCAGCCTTTTTTGGTGATTATGTGTGCATGTGTGTGTGATACACACTCTTCACTGTTCACACAGTCTGACAGACACAAGCATATTCTACTTCTTCCAACTGTGTAGTCAAAATTCAAAGTCAGACGAGTTTACCTCACTTTTCATGTGTCCTCCTTAGTTTAAAGAGTATATATATAATATATAATATATAATATAGCTCATTGTTGTGAAGCTAGAAACAAGTGACTACTGACCTAAATCCTACCAGCTGGAACGTTGGATTGTTTTCAGCTCTTTCTGCTCTTAGTCACAGGCATGAAGGGAGAAGAACCAAAATGGGGTGGAAAAAGGAAAAAAGAAAGAGGCGGCCCCTTTTTCACTCAACTTCTTTGTCTCAAATTTCATCTACCCTAGTAACAATGAACCAAAGCAAATACAATGCAGTTGATTATACTTTACAGAGGCGTGACAGCTAGCGTGACAGATGGCTCACCTATACACTTGGATCCATCCAAAGATGTGTAATATCCCTGGGGACACTTGCAGATGTAGCTGCCAACAGTATTAGAGCATTCACCTACACCACAAAGACCTTGGATGTTTGAACACTCGTCCAGATCTGCAGAGAGCGGAGGAGAAGACAAAAAACGATCAAGTATTTTTTCCAAACATTTGAGATTGCTTCCTGTTTGTTAAAAACTGCACAGAAATCATAACTGTTGGGGAAAGCGATTAAACTGAAATATGAATGTCTTCAAGAGTGACTAAAACACATGTTGGCAATGACAATGGAAATAAGGCATTGTAACAGGATATTAAATCCAGGGGCCTCTGTAGCGGCTCTTCTGTTAGCACCATTGCACAAAGTATGTTTAGGAACTGTAACGTAGACCTGTTTAAAATGTCTTATACAAAGTCAAGAAGTTTTCCACCAATTATTTCTGGCCATAAAGTAGCACATTCAAGTCTGCAAATGAGTGCTACAATAGCCTGTTCAGTCTGTTTCACAAGAGTTAAGCTTCGTCTGGAAATTGTCATTTTCATGTTTTCATAGCCAATATTTTTTACAGACTAACTGTGGGTCTCTATGTGGGAAGGAACAAAGGTGATGCAGAGAGGAAGATGTTATTTCAGATTCTTTGGAGCCTGACACATTAAAAAGCGTAGTTTTGCCTCCAAGTGTATAAGTTTGACAAAATTATGATTGTATAAATATGTAAGTCAGTCTAAGGTTGATAATCAGGATCCACAACTGAGTCAAAACAACTTGTTACTGTCTCTGTACATACCTGACCACAAATTAACTCAGTATTACACGGCAATACTTATATGAACTAGCATTAGCTAACATTAGCCTCCATAAGCCACTGGGCATAACAGACCAAGTAAGGTTGTAGCAGCAAATCCCCTGAGTGCATTGAATTTAGTAATTGTGCATTTTTCTGCTCCTTAATTCAGCTATTTGTGTGTCTTTCAGAGTTAGTCTCTCTTTACACATGTACATGAGGGGAAAGCCTCTTATACGCATCACATTTAAGTATTAAACAGGATTACTGGGAGAAAGCTGAGTGCTGCTTTGGTTTAATTAAACTTGTTTCAAGGGAAGGGCAAAGTGGCATATGTGTGGTCTTTCCCCACAAAGTAATAATCAGAATACCACAACTGAGGTAAAGTTAACTATAAATAGATGGATATTTTTAATTAAAAACTTTTAAAATCATTGATTCCAACCTACTCTGTAATTCGAGTTTACACTGAAAGTCATACATTTCACAGTTTAATGTGATGGCTGTTAGGTTAATTCTTACCATCACATTTCTGTGAGACCTCGTTGAACTTGTGGCCAGCGGGGCATTTACATTCAAAGGATCCCACTGTGTTGATACAGTTTCCTCCTTGACAGAGGCCAGGGATGGCCTGGCACTCATCCACATCTGTACATACAAAGCATACAATTATTTCACACTCTAACACACACACACATGGGATCACAGACTCCTGTAATGTACAAAAAAAGGAAAATGACACAGAGATGGTAATGCAATTCAGTGCAGGGGCAAGAGAGCAATTTTAACATAGAAATCTGCACACGACTGGATAAGCATGGATTTCAATTGGGTCTGTTTTAACAGTCTGGCTCGGACTTTCCTGCGATCAACAGAGTGACAAGGGAAAAGAAAAGGGAGAGAGAAGAATGTCTCCTGCAGGAGGAACAGAAATGAAAGCCAAGTCGACCAACGAAGAGATGGAAATACAGAAAGGAAAGGTCTAACGTCAAACAGAAGGTTATAGTCGTGATCATACACAACTAAGTTTGTGTATGGAGATTTGTTTCATGAGGGTCGATATGTAGTCATCAGAGAATTGAGGACTAGGTTTTGGGAACTTTTGGGAAAAACTTGTGACAGATTTGATGATCAAATTAAATGAAATTAATGTATTTGACAGCTAAAAATGTGGGTCTCAGGCTAGAAAGCCCCAGGAGGCTGTGACCTGATGCAGTCAGAGCGCTGCATGTTCCTCTGGGTTCTGGCTCCGATCCGTCTCCCCTGCAGAGGTTCTACTGTTGTTGGGTCTGAGGCAGACAGGCAGAGGGCCGTCTTACCAGGAATGAGCTCTCCCACGTGGCACCGCCACTGACCCGTGTTACTGACTCTGACAGTCCCGCCACAGTGTGTGTCTGCGGGCATTCCATACACATGTGGGAGGCACTGCCACCCACCCCAATTTAACCCAATTAGAACTAATCCTCTGGAGAGGGGATGATGGGTAGAGATGAGGGAACGACAGAGGAAGAGAGGTGAAGGCAGGGAAGGAGGGGGAAGGAGTTAAAGCGAGCAAATATAAGGATAGAAGCAGCACTTTTCTCGCTGAAGGAGAGAGGAGGGAGGGTGACAGAGAAAAACACAGACAGAAAACTGAAAAAAAGACAGAGAATCTGTGGAACAGACTTTACCTTGGCACGCCCCGGTGCGGTGATTTGGTATGAACCCTCTTCGACAGGGGTGAGGCTGGGCAGGACACATCTCGCAGGGGTGACCCCACGCCCGTCCCACTGTGGCGCAGCACAAATTCTTTGTGCACACAATGCCTGTGAGCTGGCCCTGGCACATCTGGTTGTGCACCGAGGCGAAGCACGGCCCGGTGCGGTAATCTACAAAGCCAAAGCAGGAGTTTGTGTTGGAAACTTTACTTTGTTTCTCCATTTTGAGTACAAACACAATGCTAAATTGCCAATATGATAGCCGCTCCAGCACCTATCAATCACTTGTATTGGTGGAAGTCCTTTAGATTTAAAACTAGCTTTAAACAAAGCATTTGTGAAACATTGTATCCAAAACTGTGAAAAGAGAGCTAAAGCCAAAGTTGATAAAACCTCAAACATTCACTTGATTCTGTGAGTTAAACACTTTAAGGCTTAAACAAACAGAAATTCAGCTTGTCTACGACTCACTCACGTTATGAGTGATGCCAGAATGGACAGTAACACACACCATAAAGAAAGCATTGTCTTTTCCTGGCATTTTAATCGGTCTGGCTCTCAGGTGCATTGTCATTTATGTGTGTGTGTGTGTGTGTGTGTGTGTGTGTGTGTGTGTGTGTGTGTGTGTGTGTGTGTGTGTGTGTGTGTGTGTGTGCGTGTGCGTGTGTGTGATAGAGAAAAGTAGAGATAGGGAAAGGGTCTGGAAAACCTTTTAAAGTTGTGTGGGGGCGGCTGTGGAAAGTAATCGAAACGAGCTAGAATAAGCAAAGAGACACAGACAATAAAAAATCTGTCTGGTGCACATATTGTATGATCATCGGTTCTTCAGTAACATGTATTGTGTTTTAAAGTAATATGACTCATTAACCTTGTTGTGTGCTGTTTTCTATATTTTATTATTATTCACAATCGATGGAATAGGTCATCTCCCCTAAGGCCGGCAGAGGCTGGGCGTGTCTGTGAAACACAGTAGGTGATTTCCCCACAGCTACAGCAGCCTAGAGTTAAAACTAAACAGCTTAAATAAATATGAGCTCAAAAGTGTGAAGAAAGTCCCTCCTTCGAGATTTCTTCACCTCTCCTCCCCTTCAAAATGGTTTCATATTCATTCCCTTGATCCCACTGCTTGCATGCATCCACCTTCCACTCCACTCTCTCCAAACACCACTCTTTATTTGCATACTCCCCACTGATATAAAAAGGTCACTGAAACTAATCAGGTGAAAAATTGTAAGCTGGCGAAACAGAGATAGGGACGGAGAGAAAGAAAGGGTGAAAAACTCATCCCTCCCAAAATAATCTGGCCCCGATCCAAAAGCAAAAATCATTTCCACATTTCACGGCAGACAACAGACAGCGAGAGGAAAGAGGGAGACCGGTTCCAACAGCGCAGTCGTTTAAAACAAACGAGACATTGTGCGTTTCCCGTGCGGACCGGGGCCCAGCCCAGACCCGTCACGTGCCTCCACGGTCTCTCCGCCTCTGGCTCCAGCGCTGTGTGAAACAGAACTGGGTCATCTCTCCCTCTCTCTCACTCCCTCCTGCTCAGCCTCTACAGGATACCAAATGCTGTTGATTCTTTTTCTCCATCCACCCAGCGGGAGAAATTAATTAAGGACATTTATTCAAGTACAGTTTTTTTTGTATTTATTTAAGTGTTTCCATTTTGGGAAACCTCTTCGCTACAACATTTCAGATGGAAACTTTGTACTTCTGAATCACCTATATTAGTTAGAGAGCTGGCTAGAAGTGAGTTATTTTGAAGATTTAGTTACATGCTAAACACAAGATCAAATCTGATAATATGGTGCATTGTAACATATATATATATAAAGAATTCACACGACTTGAGCTCAAAACAACACCACATGTTTTTCTTAGATTTTTTAGACCAGACAAAATCCAAAAAGACTTGGAACTTGACTCTGCCCTTTACACAAATAACTCTAGACTTCACTTGGACTTTGACGTTTTTTGGACACAGGACCTGTAGTGGAATATTTTAACTGAAGTAAGGGACCTAAGTACTTATTCAACTGTTGCTTTAAACGACATTCAGCTTTAAGACAAATAAACCCAACCAGTTGCCAGGTAACTAATTAAAGCCTACATTACGTACCTTACCGACAACAACAAAGCTGTACACCTTATATAGGAAAAAGCAATGACAGGAGCTATGGAAAGTTTTTACATGGCGCCCGTATAAGCTGAGTACAGCAGACAGAGTAAATAACTCAGGTTTATCTTTTCATCAGAATAAAGTGTATATGTCATTACTTTCAAGCTGCCACACATAATCCATATGACATAATACCTGCTCATTACGGAGGAGCGCAAACACTAAAAAACTAAAAGATCTGAGCATGAAATAGAGCAAAGACAAGCGCAGCACTTAAACAGTCAGCTGACGTAAACAGGGAGAGGCGGACAGCTGTAGGAAGAAAGTGGTGTCATTTCATCTGTCATCTTACTTTCTCTCTGTGAACTGCATACAGCTGGGGGATCCACCCATGTCCTGTACATCTGGGAGCAATCACATGTGTTCACACACAAATGCACTCTAACACACACACACAGAATTTCAGCCAATGTCCCAGCCCCTCACCAGCAGTCTAGCCAGAGATGATCTCAAAACAGACCAAAACTTGCTTCACTTGTTTTTGCTGCTTTCTGGTAGCTGCTTCAAAAAACATGCATCTGACGGAGGGCGGATAGTTTGTTTTGACTCTCATTAGCAGGCTTGTCTGTGCAGAGCTTCAGTCCCTTTTGGAAACACAATTGTGAAATGCTGGACTCCTCAATAACCAGTGAGTTTGTGCACGACAACAGCCTCGATGTGAAAAGGAGGGAAGCCGTCGCGAAGAGGGTCAAAAGGGTTTCCTGGATTCACTGTTTGGACACTTCTTCTGGCAGATGGTGCTTACATGCCTTAGCATGTGCGTAATTTGTGCAAATGCACCCGTACGTTTGTGCATGGTTCCATGCATGGGATAAAGGGTCTAATATCTGGGTGGGGCCTTCCTACTTAGCCCGTCAGCAGATTTCTCCATCCTCTTAGGACTTACAAGTCGAGCATGCACACATATGCACACACTTGCATACACACACTCAGTTAAGTTGTGGGATAGTTATCTTCTGAGGTTTGCACTCGGCTAGAAGAGAGTGATGATGAGTCACTCTCTTCTAGCCGATGCATTAAGAGGCAAGAGAGCCTACTGACTGTGTGTAAATCACGTATTGCCATGTTTAGTGCAAATCTTTCATCATCATCCCAAGTGATTTCAATGGAGTCACAACGAAGGCTCGACCTTACAACTTCATAGCTACATATTTGTTCAGCAGGAGCAAAAATTCCTGCGTGCAATCAGCAGCAGCGTGGCTGGATCTCAGCAATCCCACATTCCAACCTAAATCACATTTGCAACCAACAAAGAGCGCGTTGATATACCAGGCTGCATTTTCACTGCAGTCAGCTGTGCCTGGTGGAGGGGCCACTGGCCAGCAGATCACCAGCCACTTGGCAGCACACAGCTCTGCAGTGGTGGTGTGTTAATGTCGAGCCCTGATTGCTCCAGGATCTTTCCACATCCAAAGAACCACCTGAGCCCTGAGTGCAGCTACCTCTCCCCTGGTCAGAGCATGTGTTTGTTGAAAACCTTGTGTTCTTGCTAAAGTGATAAGATCAAGCCATAATTGAGGCACTGTTCTGTAAATTGCATTAACAACAGTGCGGGGTTGTGCATGTGCTCATGTTTGTGTGAGAGCACAATGGTTTTCCCTTGGGAGGTGGTGATGGATACTAGCCAAGGAAATTCCAGTGAAAGTAACTTAACCCAAAACATGACTGTAAACGTTGGCCTACTTTCCTTACCTCTATTAGTACAACCAAATGCAAGATGAAGGACCAAATAACTGATCAATTGACAGGGCAGAACATATTATAATGCTCATTATTGATCCAACTTGTACGATTAGTAAGATGACAATATGAGGCATTTTTTCTAAATAAGAGTTAACCAAGTACCAACATATTGTTTTTGAAAACATTTTGGTTCCAATATTCTACAGATATTGCGATACTAGATTTATAGTGAATTATTATGGCCACGACAAAAGGTATGCCTGTTTTACTATGAAGTCCTTATCAGCAAACGTAAAAGTAAAATACCAGTGGTAAATCAACATTTTAAAACTAGATGGGGTTAAATCTTCTTTCCATTCAACATTTATTAATCAGAAACCAAAACAAAAGACACCAACAGCTTTGTTTAATAGGTTCCTTGAAAACATCTACAAGATACTGTGTGCTTGATTTGAATTACTGACGAGTCACACAAACCCTTAGGCCAAGCTTCCACAGGAAAGGGTGAAAAGCAAAGTCACAGCATACAAGTGTGCTTCAGCAGATAAGCGCTGGCGCTAACCCACAAGACAACCAGATAGTGGCCTATTAGTTGCAAGATTGAAGAAAGCAATAAAGTAAAAAAAGGACCAATCCACACAAAACTGACAGGCCTCTCAAGAATGGCCTTGTTAAAAGGGATGTTACTAATTAGGAGCTCTGCTGCTAATCCAAATATTAGCTTTACAAGGTCACGCCTTTGACCTTTTCAGGTCATCACCACCACAGACCCCCAGCACACACATAAACTGCACACACATTTGCCTGCACATGCACAAGTTTCACTCAGAAAGTGCAAAGAGCAGGCTGCTCTCGGTTTGCATGTGCTTGTATACCTTGAATATTTTGTTCACATGTGCCAGAGAGCAACCACAGGAGGTTGGGAGGTCTTCAGCTAACAAAGACATCACGTTCCCCTGGGCTGTGCTTCAGAGCAGATGTGGAAAAATTGGTCATTTGGTAGACCAAGCTTGACATGCAAATGTTCCACAACAAACCACATCCATGGAGCCGGTGGCATGACTAAGCAGGAATTGTCTTTCGTCACAAAAAACCACAGCCACTCAGTACAGAGTCATATTTTCACAGAAGCAGCACATAATACACTTTGAAAACCACTTCCACAGTTGTAAGTAGTGAACGTAGAGTAAAGAGACTGCATGTGTGATGTAAGATGTTAGTGTGGCGCTCCTTACCTCTCTCACACTGAGCCCCGGTGAAGCCATAGGTACACACGCATTTGTTGGGGGCCACACACCTTCCTCCATTAAGGCAGCCATTCTCACAAACCGCTGGAGAAGAAAAGAGAGAAAAACAATCTCTGTGACCTCACAAAACACATTGTAGACCATTCCTCAAGTATTCATATGGTATTTATGATAATTTCACTCCAATTAAATGAGTACAAAATGATGACGTGATGACATTTTGGAGACAATGTATTTTTCATCATCAATTATCTTGGTAAGTACAAAGTTATTATAATTTATAGGATGGATGGCCAAAACTACAACAAGCTAGCAGCTCTGAGGGGCTGATCTTTGGCCGGCCAGCTTGAGCTGAATGTTTACTATGTTTAATTCTAGCGCTTTCACAGGAACATGTAAACAATCACAAAGTAAAGGCTCAGGGTTCAGCTTGATAGCATGCTAACATTTGCTAATTAGCAATAAAAACAAGCTAAAAAAGTATCCTTACGTTGCCCGCAGTGGTTCCCCACGTAGCCTTTCTGACACTGGCAGTTGTCCTCAGCACATGTTCCCCCGTTCATACACCGAATGTTACAGTTCTGGACTGTGGGCACAACAACAGAATTACACACAAACTGACACACACAGGGTTATGTTAAGAGTTAAATTCAGAGTACACAAACATACGCTGCATATTGGATTTACAACATAAACACAATCCACTCTGAACTCTTAAAGTCATGCTGGGATATCATTTCATAGAAATGTATGGTGTGCAAACAGATGAGCACATTGGGTTGAAGCGGTGTGAGCTGCAAGAAGAGCAACAATGAGGAGATGTTGACTATGGACCTCTTCCAAAGCACACACACACCCAAACGACTCACACACAAACAACCTACGAAATTGACCGGTATTTTCAAGAATGTGATTGCAACATAAAGTATATCGATTGCTTAAAGCAGTTTCAAGATTATTTTTTCAGGAAGTTTTTTGGCTTAGTATCTCATATTTATATACCATTATAGTGCTCATTACTCCTGATGAGGAGATGGAAATGTAGGAAAAAAATGCAAAAGCCATACTGCGGTTTGAACTACAGGAATCTGAGCCAATTAACAATCTTTTTCATATCCTACAGAGGAAAGCTACATCTACATGGTTTTCATCATCCGTCAGTGCTTGTCATTATTGTTCCTGCAATATATGTTTTTCTTCAGATTAAAACTCTTTTTAAAAAAAGCAAAAAAGCCAGGGTGGTAGTAAACGCCGTACTTTCCAAGAAACGCTTACTTCTGACATACACTCCTATTTACATAAATCATCAACCAAGTCAAATACCAGTTAACTCCCTCGTCTATGCACACTATATTATAAACCCATCAAGCAAGCTTCAAAAGAGTTCACTCCTTGGGAAAATGGACGTGCAGATTAATGACCTGACTTGGATCCACAGGCTGGGGAGATCTGGCCGGTGGGGCAGGTGCACATGTTGGGTCTGGAGCAGAAACCGTCTCCACATGAACTTCGGCAGATCGCTGCAAAGAGGAACATGTCACTTGGTCAAAAAACATTAAAAAACATCTTTTGTCATGTACAATATTAATCAGCAGTCCAATGCTCACTTTATAGTGCCACGGTGTGTCTTGAGACATTCTATGTTGTGTATCTGTTGCTTACTGAACTCTAATGTATAATATTTTAAAACTCATACAGTCCAAATATGACCCAAACTTCCTTTTAAACTCCATCATTGCCATGCTAAAGAAGCCCACTTGGTTGCTATTAATATGTTCCAGTGTGTGTTTTGAGTTGGCTAGAGGTTTTTCGCTCAGTTGTTCTCTTTCCCACTGACTAATGTTGGCATGGTCCCCCGCCCCTCTCTCCCATCAGGTAGAGTCCAGCGACTGACCCCTGTTCCCTGAACCCCACTGCTAAACAATGTCATTAGAGCCGCAACAGGCATTTGTCCAGCCGACCAGCCAGACTGCAATCACACAAATCTACAGCCTCTCAGACTTTCCTGTCTACCAGGGGGAGAGAGGGGGAGAGGGAGAGAAAAGAAACAACCACTGCCAGAATACTAGGGGAAATGGACCAAAATTAATAACTAAATTCCTAATTATTTTATGTCATGTTAAGAGCTCTGTTAGCAACATTAACTCATACTGATGTACATTTATTGGGTGATTAAATAGCAATATTTGAATAGAAATCTGTGAAGTGTTGGCAGTCCGTTTTTGAAATCACTGAATAAGTGCAGTAAAAGGCAACATTAAATACTAGGAATAATAGAGCATTGTTTTCCTGATATAGTCATTTGATACTGTTCAAGAATAAGGAGAAATTAATTTCTTATGCTGTCAATCAATACATATTCAAGACTGGTTTGCACAAGTCAAATTCCTGTTGGATGTGTTCTGCAACAAAGAAGATAGTTTCAGATAATGACACATGCACTCACTTTCCATCCCAATAATACTCTGTGACTGGATTGCACCAATAAACACAGCTAGACTCTGGAAACTACCACCAGTGTCAAAGATGAAGAGCTCCAAGTTCTACCTGAAGTGAATTTACAACAGAGAAATGTGTGATACTTACGAACAATGCACTGGTTTCCTCCAGTCAGAGTCTTCCAGCCTGGGCAGCAGTAAGCGTTGTTCCTTGATCCACACACATTAGGTCTGTGGAAAATGCAGGGTAATTAATCAATGTCACACAGTTCAAATCACATTTAAATCAAGTTAATTTTATTCATACAGAGCATAATCACATATTTGTTTTCGAGGGCTTTACATTCTGTTCAACATGCAACACTCTCTGTCCTTAGAACCTCGATAACTGATATACCAACTGAAAGATGACAATATTCTGTCCAATTTCTATAATAAGCAAACACACAGTTTCCCCCAAGTTACTGAAATTAAGATTTCACAGCCCTCTAAAAAAGCATACAAATGCCCATTACATTTCTGAAAACATCCTACAGTAAACGTGTTTTGCTTTTGACGACATAGTATGAAGCCAAACCTACATATGACCCCTCATCATGGGCGTCATGAAAAACTTCATCAACATTTTTTTTGCTTCCTTTTTAGTTAGGAGGCATCAGACAGAAACTCAATATCGTTATTGGCACAAATTTGCCAAAAATTCCTGGATCGTATTCCAGAGAAGAATAAGCCTAGACTAGGCAAAATGTAAGCATCCAAACATATTATTAACATCTTAGTTGTTAAAAAGAGGTCATAAGTCAGTATTAGCATCGGATATGACAAACTGGTATTGCTCCATCTTAACTAGCATTTCACAATAAAGCAGTTGAAAGATAAACTAAAGAGTGTTCAAATATCTAGTGACCACTTAGATTCCTCCTGTGATCCCACTGTGGGATCTTGACCCTTAGGTTGGATACCAGTGGATTAAAGCATGTTACAGTATGTTGTGCTAGTGCTACTGCTACTGTCAGACGTGGCCTAGCATGCAGCACTTGGCACTTCCCAATAAAACATTTTTTGTTGATGGATGAGAATATTAGGCTGCACAAGGTGTTGGAAGAAACCTGATGCACCTGTGAAAAAAAGCTTTCCATCTGACATGGAAATGAATGCCTGGGCCATCCTGCCACCTACAGGTCTATGACAGGCCTACATATGTGAATGTGTAACCACCCACTGAGCATGTGTTGACCTGGGGGTCAGAGTATATACTGTACAGTGTAACTCTACACAGAGCTAGGCGGAGAATAATGAAGCCTGTTGGATCTCTGAAACATTCTTATTACTGGTAAGTCAGCGTGACACAGTATGTAGCCTGTATGCACTTCCTGCCTCTAAACCCAGATGTTCTGATAAATTAACTTAAAGCATGTCAAATAAAAATGCCTGTGGAGAATGCTCATTGAGCTGTCTACTGTGTGACCTTCATCAGCTGTTTGCTGTCATCACTGGACACAGACGTGCTTTCTCTTCTTCTTTCTCTCTGTCTCTCTCCCTTTCTGCACACGCACGCAAACACACGCAAACACACGCACACACACACACACACACACACACACACACACACACACACACACACACACACACACACACACACACACACACACACACAACCTCTCCAGCAGTGACCCACTGTGTACAGCTGCAGATGTGATTTATCCATAACTGGGGTGTGGTGTTTTTGGCCAGAAAGAGGATTAGGCTGTTAGTCTCTCTCTCTCCCTCTCTCTGCCACAGCCACACACGACCAATGGCCTCCTTTGTTTGGATTTAATTTATTATTGCAGTCAGCAGGAATGTGATATTCTTGCCAGTATTTAATTACTAAACGTTGCTCCAAACTTCCCATCACCGACAATGTCGCCCATGGGTCTTAGTAAGCTTTATTACATATTTTTGAAGGAACAGCAAGTCCTACTTGAGAATGGACACCTGCTCTTACTGTACACAAACTGTTAGACGCTCATTTATATTCAAAAAGCTTGAAGGGAAACTGGCATGCAGGACATTGGAAAAAATAAAAAAAATTCCCAAATTGGATTTAGTGGGATTAACATAGTCAGATTACCCTCTGAGGACGTCCGACCCTCCCCTCCTCTTGGCCCTGCTGGCTCTGGAGTCGGTCTGCTTGGCCTTCGGCTCGCTGTCCTCGGTGTCCACCACCTCTGCAAAGTGTCCAAGCTCAGCGAGAGACAGCAAAGTCACCAGAGCCACGGCCAACTGCAGCAGCCGTCCTCCACACTTACTGTCCGGCATATCCACTCTCAAGTGTATACAACTCCAGCCCTCGGTAGAATAAAAGTATCCTAAACTCGTTTCCTAGTCTCGTCGACCTCTGCAGTCTGGAGTCAAAGCTGCAAAACAATAAAAGTTCTTGAAAAGACGCAAAGGGGAGTGCAGGAGATGCTGCGCACAAAAGAAAAATGACGCATTCTATGACTTATACCGTTATTAGGTAAGAAGCTGATAGTCGCAAAAGCATGCAGTGTAACAAAAAATGAAAAACGTGCAAAATTGCGCACGAGAGAGTCGTTACTTTACCTTGTCTCCCGAACAGGAGATTCGCCTCAGACCCGACAGAGGACTTCTTAACTCTTTCCTGCTGATATTGCTGAATAAACGTTTAGAAGAAAACTGAGGAGAAGAAGAAGAGTTACTCAAAACTTTCGCTAAACTGCTATAAATAGATGCGCATCGTAAGGTTTGGTGTCTGCTCTTGCGCATCCAGTTGTGTGTTGCCTCTGCACAGATAAGTTAGAGGAGCTGATGCATTCCTGGGGATGAGAATGGCAGAACTCACTGTGGCTCTCTCGCAGCGCTTTCCTCATCCCTGCTCTGATCAACTTTCCCCCAAACTTTTTTTTCTCCTTTCTTCCCCTGCTCTCGCGATACAAAACCTGGAGAACAAAATTGCACAAGAAAAGCTGTAGATCTTTCGCTTGATATCTTAACGGTAACATTTGAATAGACCCAGAGAAGTTTGAAAGAATAAGACAGAGTTTATAAAACCCTCTAGAATCTGTGTCTAAATTTGGTCATAAATAATACTATGAGATATTTTTAGTGGTTGCATTTTCTTTTTCTTTTTAAATGCACCTGTTCACTATTTACTGTATATTGTGGCTTGTAGCCTACATGCTAACAAGGAAAGGGAATACGTTGTAACCGGTTGTAACTAATAACCTTTAAGCATTGATGAATGATTTACAAACTCAATATATCAGTTATGAGCCACTAATAATAACTGATAACGAGTTTTGATGCTTAGGCTGGTTTTTATTCTTCGGTTTTGCTATTTATTAGTTATGAATGTTGGTATATCAGTTAAAAATTGGTTGTGAGTTTATCACTTTCTATAGATTTCTCAGATATCAGTTCTTCCTGATCATATAAGAGAACTACAAAAGAATATAGCTGCAGGAGAAGAGTGCAAGACTGCAAATGGGAGTCTTCATTATCTCTAAAGGTTTTTGATAAAATGCTTGTTTACTGTAGAGAGAGGGTTCCAAAATGGAGATTATAGCTAATGTACATTACACTTGTCAAACCCAGAAGTCAGGGACATTTAAATAGATACACAAAAGCTCAGTCTTGTCTGAATAAATACATTCGTTTTAAACAGTTTGATTCCTGTTAATTTAGTATTGAATAATGTCCTATACTGTACATATGTACATGTGTCCACTGTATACTGTATTATGAGGAATTTTGTCCAGTGCAGTGATAGATTTCACACACACACTGCTTCATCTCTACAGCCACACCCAGCAAACATAGAGTCAGCCTGGCTGCGCTCTCCAGTATGCTATCACTCCAAAAACTCTTGACACTGTATATTCAACAGCATTCGTTTCCACTATCAGATTCATTCCTTCCCCCCCCCCCCCTTATTATTATACACATTCTCCTCTCACACATGTCCGAACACGGCCTCAACCTGCACTTATACACACCATATGTGTTGATGTTGCTCATTAGATTCTCAAGTTTTGATCAAGACAAACGTTACACAAAACATGATCACAGGATGTTGCATTGGCAAAGTTGAGACAATTGATTTTCTCATGTCGTTGAACCACACCGCTGTGCTTTTCAGATGCAACACTCAGTCCCTTTCTGCACCTCTTCTGTAAAGAAAATGGCGGTGACCTGCCTGAGCTGCTTTAACAGGCGTCTAACTTTATGTAGTACTTCATCTGGTGCACAGGGTAGTATATATATATCATTATATGCCACAACTTCTCTTTTCCATCCACTGACACTCAGGTTGAGGCAGGCATCTCCACTAGCCTCGCTGACATCTCCAGTTGGATGTCTGCCCACCACCTCAAACTTAGTCTCAACAATACTGCTCTGCTTTTTTTCCCCTGGAAAGTCCTGCCCTCTGCAAGGCCTCTCCATCACTGCTGACAAGACCACGTTTACTCCTGATCCCACTGCCAAGAGGCTTTGTCTGCCTCGAGACAACCAACTGTCAGGCAGCACCCAGAGTGCAACTACATTTGAATCCTGCAGATTTGCTTTCGATAACCCCCATCCAATTCTACATTTTCTACAGTCACCTTAAAAAGTATCCTCATTTTCATAAAGTTATGTCCTGTTTACTGCAGCTTTTTATTACACACCCTCCCAAAGCACGACCAGCAAAATATTGGAGGACGCCCTATCTTCAGTTTCATTGGTTTCTCAATTTACTCCCTCTGTAAACTCCCTGTCCCCCTCCTTTCTCATGACCTTCTTTAAGTGATTTGAAATGATGACGCTTGCTGCTTCCATATCTTCATGTCATGGTCCAACACTTCTGCAGCTCTCCTGGTTATGGCGTTACCAAGTTCCCAATTCATCTTTTTGCTAGCTGTATAATGGAGGAAATAAATCCACATTTTCATCTGACTACTGTAGATTTCTTTGTCTGCATTTCAACCTCAACCTCACTTCTACATTTAAATATTTAATTGCTGATGACAAAGAACTTCACTTATAAGATCCAAATACTCACATAAATTAATCAGAACTTTATCACTAAGTTATCACTTAATCACTTTATTATTAGTGTTGAAAACACTCAATGCATGTATTTTAACTTTTCTTTTATTATATATATCATGCATCATTTCCTATTTTGTAGAACAAAACAAATATCTCATTATGCAGATAGGCCAATTCTAGAATAGTGTATATTATATAATGTTATAATAATTATTGCCAAATCAATGTGTATCTCATTTTATTGTTGCAGATTGTTAATTTGGGATTAGTTTCATTGACTGTATATACATATGAAGGGTTGTAGATTTCCCTCTGACAAACTCTTATCTTCTTTATTTTTGCTGTAGATAAAACATTATTAAGCCAAATTAACATGTTAACCATACTTTGTATTATTAATCATGATCTTTAACTTAAGCACAGTACTTGTTACTGTTATCTGTATTGGTTTCCAATTGTAATGACCCTTGAGGAAAATGTATGATTTGTGATATTTTGCTTTATACAACAAATTTGACTTGACTTTCCATCAATGCCAACATCTATTCATACCTACGTGATTTAAGAAGCTCGACCAGAAACTACTTGTATAAGTCAACAAGATACATTCATGATTCATGTCAAACCTCCTCATATTGACTTATTTGTTTGGGTAATGCTCTGTCAAAGACAAGTTTCTAAAAAATCCCCAAATGACACATATTGTTTCAGCTTGCTATTATTCAGATTCACATTATTGTTCTCTTAATAATTAAAGGCATATATTAATAAAATAACTGGTAAGTAAGTTTGGTGTCAGAAGATTGTAAATGAGACCAGGAACTTATCTTAATACTGGACTCGTCAGATAAGAACATCAGTAACTATAAAATGCCTTGAGGTGAGGAATGAGAGAGTCTGGGGGAGGGAAGTGGTCACTGTTGAGTGGATATTTTGATAGTAAAACAGCCGCTCCCTGGTCGTGTTGGAGCTGCATCTTTTCTCTCTCTAAAGGATCAGCCTCTGAAACACAGCGAGTCCTGGGCGTGAGGGGCTGAGGTGAGAGTGCAAAGTGGTTTGTGGTGTGTCCAGTGAGTCACAGCTCACTGGATTTCAGACCCTTGAGGTTTGGCATTAGCTTGCTTCTATTGCAGCCTTGCAGATACAGTAAGTGTATTCATCCAAGTAATATACTTAAAGAAAGAGTTTCCCATGTTAGTAAATATGCGTATGTGCCTTGCTTTGAGTTAAAAATCATGACTTTATGCTTAATATTAAGCTAAGGAAAGCAGCCAATTCATCTTTATGTATGCAGAAATGCACCTAGTGTCATGCTATTTAGTGACACGAAGTATAGCCTTAAGAATTGCAATGAGGTTGAATCAACATTATGTGTATTGAAAGTTTAATTTCATAATATAAAAAAGGTCTTATTTGTTGCATGGTAATTATACAGTATAACAACAAGCCATTACCTCATCAGTAGGATTTATCGAAGTTAAAGTTTGACATGACATTTATTTGCTTACTTGCCGATACATAAATGAGAAGATGTGTCCCTTTAATAAGAAGCTGCAGCCAAAAATGTTATGTTTCAGTTTTACAAGTTTTTGATACAACAAGTTAATCCGTGAGTTTGAGACATGCTGGAAGTCAGATTTTTTTTTAACCTTTGAAGTGATCCAGACCATCTCTTTCTAGCCTTTTGGTTAAACTGATGGTCTTCATGTTGAACTGTTTCCTTGCAGTAGGTACAATTACTTATTATTTAATGCTACTTATTCTCCTTAGCATTACATTTGTGAGTGAAATATGGCTCCTTTACATTTACCTGACAGCTATAGTCAGCCTTGTATTAAACAGTCTAAAATGTCAGACTTTTTACCCCGACATTGAACTTAGACTTATTTGTGTTGCCTCCAAATTCAAATTGAGATTACTGCAGTGAAGTCTCTAGCATCATTTGATGAGTCAAATAAGAGTCATACTAGTAAGTGTTTGTGAAATGGATGGAGTCCCTTCAACACATTGGTAATAAGAAGCAAATCATTTAAGGCCTAATACTTTGGATGACAAGGCAAAGATAACACCACTAAATACAAACACATGTGTACTCCACATAAAACTCTCTCTCTCACTCTCACTCTCTCTCACACACACACACACACACACACACACACACACACACACACACACACACACACACACACACACACACACACACACACACACACACACACACACACACACACACACACACACACACACACACACACACACACAGAAAGGGACATCAGAGATGAGTGTACTGCAGGTTTGTTTCTCGCGAAGCTTTAAGTCATGGTTCTCGTCAACATGATGTAGTGTGGGAGAAAACTGATGCCCAGCAGAGCAGGGTCACCCTCTGCTCTTCCTCAACACAGAAGAGGTGTCATTTACAGTAAGAAACCACCTCTCCCAACCCACCCTCCTTCTTCTTCCCCCCAGCCACCTCTGCGTCTCATTCCATCGTTTTCTCGGTTAATCCCCTTACTGTTAGTAACTGAGCATGGGTTTCATTTTGGGGAATGTTTAGTCCTCTTGCCTGAAATGGCTGAACTAAAAGCCTGAAATAGTTAGACTGAAACAGAGTTTGGATAAACATTTCAAAGAGTGTAGTAAGATTTTTTTTCTGTGGAGTATTTCAATACCAAACATGAGGCAACTAATTTATTATCTTCTAATAACAACACAACTCGTGTGCCTTGTTTCTAACCTTCCCCGTGACAGAAGGTAATTCTTCTCTGGCTACGTCACATCTTTCACCAACTCGTTTTCTGTGTTCATGTGTTTCATATACCCAAGGCAGTTTTTAAAGT